TACGTAAGATGCATGGGTAACGACACTCTAAATGTTTCAAGTATTTTTCTCCTGAATAAGGTAATTTTGTTGCCGAAATATTCTGTGGACTCCAACTTTTCCGGTGGTCAAAAAGCGATGCCGTAAGTTGGTATTAGAGGTCCTAATGAACAGGCACTGGTTTATTAAAAGTAGTGTCTGTAAATGTGCAATAACGGAAGAAATGATTTTTCAGCTTAATGGAATAGGCTTTAGGAGGTTTTCTGCTGATGGTTGCCATGCTATTTTCTACATTGTGTACGGGAAAATTGGGAAAACTGTAATTTAAACTGAAAAGCAGAAAATTAACTTATTTTCAATTACTTATCCTTTCAAATAAGAATTCTTTCTTGCTTTAAAGTTTAAACCATTCTGTTTCGCTCACTAGGAGACAGTTTTCAGACACTATTCAGTTTTATGCGTGGTTTTATGATCACTTAATTGAATGTACATATTTTGCACAGTTTGTACTGTAATCAATTCTAAGCAAGTAAATTAGTGCTTCTGTTAATTTGGTGCTAGCTTTTATCTTGGGCCTGTCGTGTATCGTATCGGTACACATTACAGCTTTATCACTGTCTGTCGGTGGTATATGTGTAGGCATATTTATGTAGGTACTATACCATACTATTGATTGTAAATATGTACATGTGTATGTAAGTATATACTGCATACATACATTTATGTATCTATTATCTATATTGGGTACATAATTAAAATCGTACCTACACCTTGACTGAATTAGTGCAGGTGAATGCAATTTCGACATGAGAAAAGTTCGGTCCTAAAATCCTTTGACTATAAGTAGTTTAATAAGAGACAGACAATAAAAACTGATTGTAACTAACTAAATTGAGAAAGAGTCGATTTTGAATTTACATTTATGCACATGCATTTGTGTGTATTTTAGGATGTTGGGCGGTGTGGCTGGTAGGTGCATGTCTACCAAAAGACGTGAATCGTTGTCAACTGTTAGCAGAAAACAATCTGAAGACATGGGAATACCACCAGCTTATCACACTAATCGTTACGCAAGGCGTCGAAGAGCCGTCACCACCTCCGACCATAAATCATGTGCCCTTATACAAACAAGACTCAAACTGGGCGATATTATGTGAGTGACTCTACCTTATTATTTAGCTATTCTTTTTAACCATCATCATCATCATCATCATCATCATCATACGGCCGTCAGTCCTACGATTGATTGGTTGAACACGCAACTCCACTCCTTCCTGTCCTGAGCTAATCTTTGCATTTCCCTAAAACTAGAACATCCCACAGCTTTAACTATTTGTGCACAATAATCTAATGTAGATCTACTTCCTTCTACTCCTCCTAACTCCTGTTTCTGCCTCTGACTACCCCTTCATGCCTACCAACCTGTCTCGCTTACTTCTTATTAACTTCCATAAAGTCCTCTGTTTTCCGACCGACTTCAAAAAAAGAAAGTGGAACGTTTATTATCAGTCGTGAGTGTGGCATCTTGAGTGACGATACACATATTGGTTTTGCAAACGTTGTGGAATTTAAAGGATTCCCTCGGTCAATTTTCCGCATCGAATTCGCCGGATAGCCATTTTTCCGGTGATACAATTCTAGCCGAAAATTTTCCGACTTTCTATTCATAATAGGTAATAACAGACATACATAACAGGTAATAGGTACTTGCCTAAATGTTAGTAAATGTAAAGGTTTGCTTGTAAAAACTTCGGATCTAGGAGCATGAGCTGGTACATGTAAGAAATTAGATAAATTAAGACGATTTTTTCGACTTTCATCATTCGAGTTTGGTAGGTACCTACATGTACATGTGCTAGGTTTTATCAATGACAAAAGGAGTAACTTCCGAATTTAATTTTAATTAAGCATAGGAACATACGTATGTATACTGCGATTTTCCTTTGCTTCGGAGATGGAAGCTTCTCATTAATTCGTCAACGAAAAATGTTTGCTTTTCCGAGATAACGCCAACTCGATATAATACATAATGATGTGATATTTTACCCTTCGTTTCGCTGAACCCCCACTAGTTTACAATATACACCTAGTCGTTGTTTCTCGCATAAAATTGAATTTCAATCGCATTATTTTTCAATTTCCCCATTGATTGATTCATCGGTCGGGAACTGTCTGTAGTGGGGAACGTCACAGTAACCTTTTCACATTAGTATTGACAAAATAATGTTTTAATATATTCAAACAATACCTAGTAGTTAGGCACTTCTGATTGGTACAAATTAAAACATTGTGAAATTAAGTAAGTAAGAAAATGTAAATAATTATTTATCGTTTTTATTAAGAAAGTCTCCTGTTTTCTTGCATACATACATACATACATACATAAATATCCCCGCATCCTTTAGGGATCCACTATTCCTAATTCAGGCGCAAATGGTCAATCGGCGAAGAATTGCACATTTTTTAATCGGTTTTTGAATCACACGAACGCTTATTACAAATGCATACCAGTTACATGCGTTACACACATGGTATTTGCAACGCTTTCGGGAATTAATAATACATTAAGTGTATATTTTGGAATAAGGGACAGCGGTAGTTTTATAAAAAGAAATTGCAACTCAACTGTGGCAAAACGTCTCATCGAAGTTATTGTCTAAAGGATTAAAGGATGTGTGACAAAATATACATGCAAGTATGTACTCCTATGCCGAAGGAAAACAGAAATATAAATCGTCATCGAAGAAAATCGAATCCTTCGATTTTCTTCGAAAATCCAATAGGTCAATTTGTATGTTATTCCCTGGAGTATCTCCCTCGGGAAATAAACACTTATCATCAGGCAAACAGTATTATATTATATTTGGGAAAACAGACCCTCCCCTGTCCTCTTTCACTACGATCAGTACAGCAGTTTTCCTGTATGTACCTATCCACCTACTTCAGACCGTTAAATATATCATTCAACTATTTTTCTTATTACACAAAATGTCTGCTTGAAGCACAGTTTTATGCGCATTAATAATTTCCTTTTGTTTTAATTAAAAATCATGCTTTTGATGCGCATAAAAAAGCAAGCAATTAGAACAAACAAACTTATATTGAGAAATTAGTAGAAACGTCGTAAAAAAAAGGACAAATTGTAGGAATTTTTGGTCACGTAATTTATAAACCTACATTATTGTACTTTCAGAAGAATGTAGCAGCAGTGCAAATTAGGCACTCAAATTAGTGTCCTCTGTTGCTCAGTTAGTCAAGTATGTGCCGGGAAAATGGGGAAAATCGTGCGCGCTTTTCCTTGACGGAAAATCTACCCGCGAAAACGGAGTTAACAGATCGGTACGGCAACCGCCAGGTGGCATTTTCTGTAAACTACGGTGTCCTTAGTAATATTAACAAATACTTTAAGGATAATACGGTCGTGATAGGTGTTTAATGATGAAACGATAAAACATGTGGTTGCCAAAAAGTCACGCACTAAACGTAGGCACCAGCATCCATTATACTAAACGGTTGGATAAACTCATTTACCTTCTCCTAATCACAATTAGATATTGTTTAATTAATCATTTACTGATGTAAAAACATTGTTGCCGATTTGAAGAAGAGAAAACATTTTTCTAAAGACATCAAAATAAGAATGATGAGCAAATGAAATAAAGGCATCTTACATCTTATTATTATATTGTGTTAGTGTTTCAATCGTGATAGGTAATACGCGCTCGTACTGTTTGTTTAAGTGAACTGACAGATACTTAAAACTATTATATGTGAGTAGGTAACGATGCATTTCGAGTAATTAACGACAAATTGATGCAGTCAGTGACTCGATAATATCGTAATTAGCAAATTTTTCAGCTGAAGACGTACGGTGCATAACTATTAATAAAAAGGCAAATTGCCGCGTGTGATAATAATACCGTTGATTAGACAACGTTGCTAGGATAATCTAGTTGTTCATGTGTCCTCGGGGCCACTGCGACGCGATGGTATGGCGTGAAAGCGCAGGACTGCAAAAGCACACGCTGATCCTGCCGTCGACGCCACGACGCTCCTCACATTAACCGAACGAAAATAATCGGAAAATTCCGAACAGGACACGTACTAGCATGAGTCGGGTGCAGGCCGAAAGCTCGTCACGTTCGGAGAGCGATAGGAAAAAATAAAACGCGAAAAATGAGGTGTAGATCTCGATGTGCGTCTGATGGTACCTAACGACGATAACGACGCGCGATAAAAACATCGGTAAAACGGTCGCAGGAAGGTGTGAAAAGGATACGTATCGTGTGTTTGGGAGAGTAGACACGCACATGTACAGAGCGTAAGGATAAGGATGGCGGCGGCGTCGCGTTTTCATAGTCGCGGACGATTGCGGTCTTGGTTGACCGACGCCTCTGGTCGCTCAGTACAGTGAAGAAACATGGAGGTATGCCGTTGTATTTGTGTATCATTAGATGAGCAGACAGTGAAAAGACGACCGAGGAAACGGGAAAACCAGGTTAGTTGCTTTCCGCCGTTGCAGACCATTTCCCTTTTCCGCGTCCATCGATTATTCCATGCCTCATCTACCATACAGATATCGGTACGTCCGTCCGTCTTACCACTTCTGACCCACATATGTATGTATCTAATCTACTCTTCCGACCATGTAAACAGAAAATTTTCATTCATCTTCCACTAATAACGAGGGTAATCCGCGGACCAGTCGGTTTCTTCCTCCTCTGTTTTTCACCCATGCTTATTTCCTTCGTTTCTCTCATTTTCAGTCGCTCATATTCTGTCTTCTCTTCTTCCACGTCTGTCCGCATACGTGTATAATACATACGTACAAATAATAATATATTTGAAAGGAGTTCCTGAATTTAACTGCCTAGTACATGTACCTATGTTAGCGAATACACAACAAAAGAGGAACAATTGCAAGGTACTTATAAAATCTGTTGCATATAAAATCCTGTTTTTCCTATTCTGTTGCCATTGGCACGTACCTGAAATTAGACAGGTACAAAAAATCTACCGTTCTATATTGCATTATTATTAATAGGGAATTTTTGAATATTTNATTCTACTTCTAGGTCAGCAAAATGTTCAAAGTTTCTAAAAAAAAAAAATAATAAACTTATTATCACGATTTCTGTACAAACAAAATATATACACTTACTCTAGCTTAATTTGAAAAAGAACATCCTCATTATTTAATGTTGATTGTAAACCTACATTGTTTTCCCACACAGCAACGAGTATACCTTCAAACCATGCTGTGTATTCTGGATCATGTGCATCTACCAAATCACCTACTTTAAAATATTTGCTGTCTACTTTTTTCCTTTCTTCCCTTACAATGTCAGTTGAATTAGATGGGCCTTCTTCCTTTTTTTTGTTATCAGTGCTTTTGTTAATATGCTCCTCTGATCTTATAACAAGTTGAATAACATCGTTTAATTGTACATCATAATCAAAAACACGTAAATCGTTTTCTAGCTGAAAATTCTGTACAATTACAACTTGATCACGTAAATAATTGTCGCTAAAATACCTGCTTTCCTTTATATAACAGTCTTTGACAATTTATTTTAATTCCCCGTTCTTCTTCAATTTTTTTCTTAATCTGTTCGATTTTGGAGGTTTTGGAGATATCAATAAAAATATCATTTTCCTCAGGCTTTGCATTTATATCACGAATTTTTATGTACATTGAATTTCGTTTTATTCCGATTTATTTAAAAATGATTACCGAAATAAAATATATTACTTTTATTTAATAATAAAGTTATATACTTGTGTATAACCTATTGATGGTGATTGGCGGTTAATTTTTATTTTAAATCAGGAATACCAACGATACCAACGCTCGGCACATCAGTGGTTCCTATGGCTTAAACCCTATCTATGAATTCTAATGATTCTATATCACCATTTCATCACACATCCGCGGGTGTTTCATCTATGACTACTATAATATCTCTTATCTATGGTCTATTATTATTAAAAAAAATGGAATTTATAAGAATATTAGTAAATGCAATAAAGTAAATGTGTTTTTTGTTCTCAAATACACGCTTTCATATTGTACTTTGCCTTTTTAACTTTTTTAAACTATGATTAATTTACAAGTGCAAGAACAAGAAGTGTTTTTTTTTGTCAGTTTTATTAACAGTTAAAAAAAACGTTAAAGTCCTGCAAAACCTCCAAAAATGTCTTTATCTAACGGGGTGAGTAAATGCTAAATGCTAATTAATGGTTTTTGTGCACAATGTAATAAGTAATTAAGAAATATTGTATAATATGTTCACCTCGTTGATTTGCAATCATAAGTAAGTACTGTTAATTATTAATATTAATATGTATATGTATTATGTGGGTTTAAAAATCTCATTTGAATTTTAAGATAATAATGTTACATAATATTTACGCAAATAAACATGTTACTCTTTTTGGTTACAGATAAAATAATATGAATTATAAATCGTAACTTTAAAAGGTTACTTCATCAGTGACATTCACATATCTTGTTCCTAAACCTTATGTTTGAATTGTTTTTTGTTTAATCTTAAAAATGAGTGATATAGCTTCAATAAAGGACGACTCATTTGAGGTAATTCCAAATGAATTAATAAAACATCAGGTACAATAGGAACTATGAAACAAGCAAGTTATGACTATTTAATTAAGAAATTAACAATTCAAATCAGTAAAGCAAGTGTGGAGATTCTGTAAAGTTAAAAATAAGTTAGCTCAGAATTAGTAAGCTGCCGAATGATAATGATAATTAGCTTTAATTGTATTTAAATAATAATAATAAGAACATAAAATTTTACTTTACATAATATACTTTCCTAAACAGCAGTAATTATTTTATCACACTTACTGATTGGTTATATCACCTGTTTTTAGCATGCATTTTGACCTTCTTATCACAAGCAGATATTTATTTTTTAAGTTGTAAAAATAGGGGGGGGATAATGGGTTTCAATCCCCCATTAATAAGACTGCAAAGTAGATTGTAAAATATGTATTGCAGTTTTTTTATTGCTAATACTTATTGAGTCGTTGATATTTTACTTTTGCACACATTATTTGAAAACTAGTAAAAAAGTCTGAAAAATATGAATATGAAATAACGAATGTTCGCATTGTTCGGTTTTCTTCGATGTTGGTGAGATTATTGACATTCTTGCTGGTTTTATTTTAGAAAAGCACCCGACACTTAAATAATCATTTTATGAAGGCGTATTTCTTCTTGCAGGTGCTACCGTTTGCTCTTGGAATAGGCATAATCGTTATAAGCGCAGTGATATACCAGTTGTTTTTTTCTAAAACTGGCATAAAAGGTAGCTCTAATTAATTTAATGTACGTTTCGATATTTTTTTTTTACTGTAGGTGGTAAAAAGAAGAAATTAGTTACTTTAGAGGATCCTCAGAAGAAGTATGCATTGCCACTGATAGAAAGACATGAAATTAATCACGACACTAGAAGGTTCAGATTTGGACTTCCTTCACCTAATCATGTTTTGGGTAAATTGATTTTAAATGAATGCACTTGTTAATTGTCCTTTTAATGTTTATTTTATGTAGGTCTTCCAATAGGACAACACATTCACTTAAGCGCAAAAGTAGGAGGCGATTTAATAATTAGGTCTTACACACCAGTTTCAACAGACGACGATTATGGATACGTGGATTTGGTGATAAAAGTTTATTTCAAAAATGTTCACCCTAAATTTCCAGACGGGGGAAAAATGTCACAATATTTGAACAACATGACATTGGGGGAGACTGTTGATTTTAGGGGTCCATCTGGCCGTTTACAGTACATTGGCCCAGGGAAATTTTTGATTAAAAAACTACGCAGCGATCCTCCTCAAGAAGTAAATGTGTCGAAAATTAACATGATAGCTGGAGGTACTGGAATTACTCCTATGCTTCAGCTAATACGACATATAACAAAAGACCCCCTGGATAATACAAAATTGACATTATTATTTGCTAATCAAAGTGAAGGAGATATTTTATTGCGAGATGAGTTGGAAGAGGTAGCCAAAAATTATCCTGAGCAATTCAAACATTGGTACACCATTGATAGAGCAAGTGATGGTATTTGCTAATTTAAAGCTTGTTATGTAGTAATGTTAATCCTGTTATATACATTTTAGGATGGAAGTATAGTGTAGGATTCGTGAATGATGTTATGATCAAGGAGCATATGTATCCTCCAAGTTCTACTACATTGGTTTTAATGTGTGGTCCACCTCCGATGATTCAATTTGCATGTATTCCAAGTTTAAAAAATTTGGGATATAATGAGAATTTGCATTTCTCCTATTAATAATAAACATTTTTACTATTAAGTCATGCAAAAGATGGAAAAATGATGGTCACTTTATTTTAGTTCTATTCACAATAATATTTTTATTGTATATATGTAGTAGTAGTATGATTTTCTGCATTTTTCATTCTAAGTTGTATACATTTCGTTGGCAATAATACTGATGGCATGCAATCTTTATTTATTTTTGTGATAAATAAAAAACATCAAAAGTAGGGTAGTTTTTAATCATAAATGTATTTCAATATTTCAAAAGTATCAAAACAAAATCCTCGCAAAAATTTGTAAAAATGTTGATACGTTTTTTTAAACACCCTATATATTTTGAGTAGTGATTTATAAGTTAAAATTTTAATACTTTCAAATAATTAAATAGTATCTAATTATATAATGATTGAAGATCTTACAATATAAATTTAGAATAAGAATTCTCTTTAACTGCCGAATGTCCACCTCCCTGCAGCATTATACTTATTTATTTATTTTCATTTTTTCTTTTCTTATGTATCTTTTATTTTGGTGGCTAAAGGATAAATAATAATTTGTTAATAACTTGTANATCATCATCATCATCATCATCATCATCATACGGCCGTCAGTCCTACGATTGATTGGTTGAACACGCAACTCCACTCCTTCCTGTCCTGAGCTAATCTTTGCATTTCCCTAAAACTAGAACATCCCACAGCTTTAACTATTTGTGCACAATAATCTAATGTAGATCTACTTCCTTCTACTCCTCCTAACTCCTGTTTCTGCCTCTGACTACCCCTTCATGCCTACCAACCTGTCTCGCTTACTTCTTATTAACTTCCATAAAGTCCTCTGTTTTCCGACCGACTTCAAAAAAAGAAAGTGGAACGTTTATTATCAGTCGTGAGTGTGGCATCTTGAGTGACGATACACATATTGGTTTTGCAAACGTTGTGGAATTTAAAGGATTCCCTCGGTCAATTTTCCGCATCGAATTCGCCGGATAGCCATTTTTCCGGTGATACAATTCTAGCCGAAAATTTTCCGACTTTCTATTCATAATAGGTAATAACAGACATACATAACAGGTAATAGGTACTTGCCTAAATGTTAGTAAATGTAAAGGTTTGCTTGTAAAAACTTCGGATCTAGGAGCATGAGCTGGTACATGTAAGAAATTAGATAAATTAAGACGATTTTTTCGACTTTCATCATTCGAGTTTGGTAGGTACCTACATGTACATGTGCTAGGTTTTATCAATGACAAAAGGAGTAACTTCCGAATTTAATTTTAATTAAGCATAGGAACATACGTATGTATACTGCGATTTTCCTTTGCTTCGGAGATGGAAGCTTCTCATTAATTCGTCAACGAAAAATGTTTGCTTTTCCGAGATAACGCCAACTCGATATAATACATAATGATGTGATATTTTACCCTTCGTTTCGCTGAACCCCCACTAGTTTACAATATACACCTAGTCGTTGTTTCTCGCATAAAATTGAATTTCAATCGCATTATTTTTCAATTTCCCCATTGATTGATTCATCGGTCGGGAACTGTCTGTAGTGGGGAACGTCACAGTAACCTTTTCACATTAGTATTGACAAAATAATGTTTTAATATATTCAAACAATACCTAGTAGTTAGGCACTTCTGATTGGTACAAATTAAAACATTGTGAAATTAAGTAAGTAAGAAAATGTAAATAATTATTTATCGTTTTTATTAAGAAAGTCTCCTGTTTTCTTGCATACATACATACATACATACATAAATATCCCCGCATCCTTTAGGGATCCACTATTCCTAATTCAGGCGCAAATGGTCAATCGGCGAAGAATTGCACATTTTTTAATCGGTTTTTGAATCACACGAACGCTTATTACAAATGCATACCAGTTACATGCGTTACACACATGGTATTTGCAACGCTTTCGGGAATTAATAATACATTAAGTGTATATTTTGGAATAAGGGACAGCGGTAGTTTTATAAAAAGAAATTGCAACTCAACTGTGGCAAAACGTCTCATCGAAGTTATTGTCTAAAGGATTAAAGGATGTGTGACAAAATATACATGCAAGTATGTACTCCTATGCCGAAGGAAAACAGAAATATAAATCGTCATCGAAGAAAATCGAATCCTTCGATTTTCTTCGAAAATCCAATAGGTCAATTTGTATGTTATTCCCTGGAGTATCTCCCTCGGGAAATAAACACTTATCATCAGGCAAACAGTATTATATTATATTTGGGAAAACAGACCCTCCCCTGTCCTCTTTCACTACGATCAGTACAGCAGTTTTCCTGTATGTACCTATCCACCTACTTCAGACCGTTAAATATATCATTCAACTATTTTTCTTATTACACAAAATGTCTGCTTGAAGCACAGTTTTATGCGCATTAATAATTTCCTTTTGTTTTAATTAAAAATCATGCTTTTGATGCGCATAAAAAAGCAAGCAATTAGAACAAACAAACTTATATTGAGAAATTAGTAGAAACGTCGTAAAAAAAAGGACAAATTGTAGGAATTTTTGGTCACGTAATTTATAAACCTACATTATTGTACTTTCAGAAGAATGTAGCAGCAGTGCAAATTAGGCACTCAAATTAGTGTCCTCTGTTGCTCAGTTAGTCAAGTATGTGCCGGGAAAATGGGGAAAATCGTGCGCGCTTTTCCTTGACGGAAAATCTACCCGCGAAAACGGAGTTAACAGATCGGTACGGCAACCGCCAGGTGGCATTTTCTGTAAACTACGGTGTCCTTAGTAATATTAACAAATACTTTAAGGATAATACGGTCGTGATAGGTGTTTAATGATGAAACGATAAAACATGTGGTTGCCAAAAAGTCACGCACTAAACGTAGGCACCAGCATCCATTATACTAAACGGTTGGATAAACTCATTTACCTTCTCCTAATCACAATTAGATATTGTTTAATTAATCATTTACTGATGTAAAAACATTGTTGCCGATTTGAAGAAGAGAAAACATTTTTCTAAAGACATCAAAATAAGAATGATGAGCAAATGAAATAAAGGCATCTTACATCTTATTATTATATTGTGTTAGTGTTTCAATCGTGATAGGTAATACGCGCTCGTACTGTTTGTTTAAGTGAACTGACAGATACTTAAAACTATTATATGTGAGTAGGTAACGATGCATTTCGAGTAATTAACGACAAATTGATGCAGTCAGTGACTCGATAATATCGTAATTAGCAAATTTTTCAGCTGAAGACGTACGGTGCATAACTATTAATAAAAAGGCAAATTGCCGCGTGTGATAATAATACCGTTGATTAGACAACGTTGCTAGGATAATCTAGTTGTTCATGTGTCCTCGGGGCCACTGCGACGCGATGGTATGGCGTGAAAGCGCAGGACTGCAAAAGCACACGCTGATCCTGCCGTCGACGCCACGACGCTCCTCACATTAACCGAACGAAAATAATCGGAAAATTCCGAACAGGACACGTACTAGCATGAGTCGGGTGCAGGCCGAAAGCTCGTCACGTTCGGAGAGCGATAGGAAAAAATAAAACGCGAAAAATGAGGTGTAGATCTCGATGTGCGTCTGATGGTACCTAACGACGATAACGACGCGCGATAAAAACATCGGTAAAACGGTCGCAGGAAGGTGTGAAAAGGATACGTATCGTGTGTTTGGGAGAGTAGACACGCACATGTACAGAGCGTAAGGATAAGGATGGCGGCGGCGTCGCGTTTTCATAGTCGCGGACGATTGCGGTCTTGGTTGACCGACGCCTCTGGTCGCTCAGTACAGTGAAGAAACATGGAGGTATGCCGTTGTATTTGTGTATCATTAGATGAGCAGACAGTGAAAAGACGACCGAGGAAACGGGAAAACCAGGTTAGTTGCTTTCCGCCGTTGCAGACCATTTCCCTTTTCCGCGTCCATCGATTATTCCATGCCTCATCTACCATACAGATATCGGTACGTCCGTCCGTCTTACCACTTCTGACCCACATATGTATGTATCTAATCTACTCTTCCGACCATGTAAACAGAAAATTTTCATTCATCTTCCACTAATAACGAGGGTAATCCGCGGACCAGTCGGTTTCTTCCTCCTCTGTTTTTCACCCATGCTTATTTCCTTCGTTTCTCTCATTTTCAGTCGCTCATATTCTGTCTTCTCTTCTTCCACGTCTGTCCGCATACGTGTATAATACATACGTACAAATAATAATATATTTGAAAGGAGTTCCTGAATTTAACTGCCTAGTACATGTACCTATGTTAGCGAATACACAACAAAAGAGGAACAATTGCAAGGTACTTATAAAATCTGTTGCATATAAAATCCTGTTTTTCCTATTCTGTTGCCATTGGCACGTACCTGAAATTAGACAGGTACAAAAAATCTACCGTTCTATATTGCATTATTATTAATAGGGAATTTTTGAATATTTAATTACAATAAGATATTCATAAGAAGACGATAACCTAACATGTCGAATAACAGATAATAAGTTTTCTGTAGAGATTTTAGTTGGTATAAGTATTTTTATTTTTAAGAAACAAACGTTTTAATTTTATTATTTAATACTGCAGAAAATACCTGTATATGCGTACAGATTTTTATGCCCGAACAAACAAACCAATAAGCTTTTATGTTTAAATTTTATTTTAGATGCATGTTGTATATATGTATTTCGACATCTCGTTAATAGGGTAGGAAGGTATAAGGTTTCAAATCGATATCTGAACGTATGGTATGAGGTTTTAGAGATGTTTCAGCTATCTAACCGACAACGCAGTATACACCTAATGATAAAGTTAAAATAAAAAGAAATATGCTTCAGATTTTCATTGAAACTACTCATTGACGCCCTTGATGGCTGCGACTATGGCGTGGATAGTCCTGCATCTACCATTGATAAAATGTTCGTTTGGTTACGTGGGTGTCGCTATTAGGTTGGAGTTATGGATGTAACGACCAAATCGGTCAATTGGAATAGCGTATGTATTACGCACCAAGGAAATCCTGCCGGGGTGTGAATTGCCACCCGAGCCGAAGGCAAAGGCAGCAAAGTCCGCAAGGGGGTGCCATACTTCCTTCCGAGGCTTGTTTGTACACAATTTTTTATCGTACCCATGTCCCGACAGTACGATGAGTTTTCCTGGTTTTAAGGAAAAACGTCGTACCTTCGGTAGGGGCACGGTAAAATAGTATATTACTCACCAAAAAGGAAAAAAAATACGATGTTGCAGAGACGATGGTAAAATCCTTTCTCAATAACGAGTATCTACCTAAATAAGATTTCTTATCCGGGAAAATATCGTACCCAGGCTTTTTGTGCAAAAGAACGTTCGAGAATGTTCCGGAATGTTGCAGAGGGACGAATATGCGTGACTAAAACGGATAATACTTAAGAGTCTCACCACCAATTTTTGTATTCCGGTCAATTTCGGGCGATTGGCTGATGTGAACAAGCTGCCAAGTTATTATTTATAAATTGAACGAAGAATAACACTTGGTTATTGGAAAAAGCACATTTCTACTTTGATCAATATCAATAAAGTATTTAATTTTAACTGCATTAAAGGCATCAGTCGGTTTTTTTAGCATTTAACATATGCACAAAATAATACATACAGTAGATACCTATATAGTATTTCATAGCAATAACAATTTGAAATCGGCAACTGTGCGAATCATTATCTGTTATCCGAACAAAACGCTGGACCAGTAGACGCCTCGCGTCTAGCCGCAGAGGATGTTGGCGACGCCGATCTCGCCTGGCGCCGCGACAAGTCAACTCCATAGCCAAAGAACACAATTTTTCACGGACAAATGTTTCTTTCGAATTAAAATGTCTGTGTATCCGATGCGTCTATAGATATTTAAAATAATTATTGCTGTTCAATATATGTATCTAATTTATTTTCCACTCAAGGGTAAAAAACTAGAACTGTTGTGTTTCTATTTGTTTTGTCCGTAATGTAATGCAAAACAATAAACACATCAAAAGAAGGACTAGCAAAAGAGACAACGGGTAGTTAAACATGATAATATCAAACAAACTCGCTCCTATACATGCATATACTAGAAACTTTTAGAAAATTGTTGGTAATGTTTCCATTAAAAGTAAGTAAAAAAAGTTTATGATATCGTAGAGGGGTGAGTATTATTGATGTTATTCAATCAATAGGTACTTTGATAGTAGGCTATTTAAAATACTTACGATATTACCCAAAATGTCTTCTTCTTCATTTTATTGACTGTTAGGGTTGATTTATCTACAAATTTTATGCAAGTGTAGAAGGCAGATAAATATGTAGTACGTATGTACTTCACCTACAGGTATGTATAGATAACGTTTTCACGGCCTTTAGATCAAAGGAAAATGTTTGATACACGTCAGACACCCTACACAAAAATTGATCAGGTGGCACTAATTAGAACCTGCTACGTCAGATACTATTTTTGAGGCTTAATTGGTCAGCAAAATTACTTGATACGTGCTACTTAGGTACTGTACCTACATGTTAAAAATTCAAGCAAATAAAACCTAATTCTTTATTACGTTCTCTGTCATAAATATCTATACCTATATCTTACAAAGATAGATAATATGTATTTTGCGAAAAATTATTTGCAGGAGTCTCACATCTTTTTAAAATATATTGTAACAGAAAATAATTTACTATCTTTAGGTAGGTTTGAGGCAGAGGTTGGAGTAGACCTTTGGTTTCTGATACATTTTTCGAGACATTCAATCCCGAGATGGGAGGAGATTCAATGTCCAAAAATTCAAACGCAGACCATATTAAAGATAGTACCTACACAGAGTGTGGTTTCTGTTTGATATTTTTGAGATTTTCAGATTTTCTTTTCGTGTCTGTGACGATTGCGGAACCCTTTTCTGTTTTAGGTTGGCCGCAGCACAAGAGGCAGCGGCTCAGCAGAAGGCAGCTCAACAGCAGGCAGCGAAAGGGATAACGAAACGGGGGATACGGGCGGGCGCAGCTGATAGAATGGGGGGCGCAAGCACGGCTGCCGGGGCGCAAGCGGGAGGACAGGGACCAACGTCCTTGTTCATCCTGTCGGAGGAAAACATCATCCGCAGGTACTGAAGTTGCTTGGGAGTTTTGATGAAATCGCGATTTTTTTACGCTTAAGTATTAGGTACACATATCTAGCTAATAGTTGGGAAAAAATGTCGGTATTCTTATCTAATACATATTAAGGATTGACTTTGTCCTTTAAGGTACACGCGCTTTATAATCGAGTGGCCTCCTTTCGAATATGCCGTGCTTTTGACAATCATAGCGAACTGCGTGGTGCTGGCGCTCGAAGAGCACTTGCCTAGCCAGGACAAGACTATGCTAGCACTGAAACTAGTAAGTGAAAATTGTCCTTTTGCTGCTACGAATCGGTCACAGTCTGTTCTCTTTTCCAGGAAAAAACGGAAACTTACTTTTTAGGTATCTTTTGCGTAGAAGCGTCATTGAAAATACTAGCGTTAGGTTTCGTACTGCATAGAGGATCGTACCTAAGGAACATTTGGAATATCATGGATTTTTTTGTTGTACTTACAGGGTGAGTGTAGTTGGGTTGTTTCCATTAAAATGTTCGTTTTCATTGCAAAAAAGACTCGATGGAAAAATGCGAATTTCAATAAACATGACCTGTTCAACGGAAACAGAAGATCAACACAGGCGGCAAAATAACAAATAAAAGCGTCAACTTTCTAATACTTTCTAACTGATGGTTATTGCATTTTTTAAAAAATGATTGACCTTCATTAATAGCTACAAGAATAAATACATGTAAAAACATAAAATGAAATAGAATTGAACAGGTCGTGGATGAGATCGGAAATAAAATATTAAAGAGATTCCATTTGGTATTTAACTTTATCAGGTCGATGACAATTTTTGCGGAAGCGAATGTAGATGTTGATCTTCGGATGTTGCGATCGTTTCGCGTGTTGAGGCCGCTCAAGCTGGTGTCGAGGATACCAAGTAAGGGCCCCATGTCAGACAAAATAATTTGTTACCTTTTTCTTACGTCCTGCTGCTAGTGATGATATGATAATTGATTATGATAATGATCACGATTATGATGTAGTAGACAAAAGTTGTCATTTTTTACCACCCATTAGAATAAGTACCTACTTTCCTAGGTTTTTTAATTATTATCATTTAGATTAGATTTACGTATTTCTGAACGTATATATACCGTACATCCTCACACCCATATACTTATACAGCCCATCACCCTCATGTTATTCCATCGGGTGTTCATTAACATACCAGTTCACATTTCAAAAATCGATTCTTGCGGATCTCATTTGAAACGAGAAATGTCTCTTGGAAGTTTTCGTCACGTTTATATCGTATAAAAGCACTTCCATTCGTGTAATAAAAAAGTGCGTTAGAAAAAACTACTACGCTACGCGAATTCTAGAAAATTTATCTCAAAAATTCTTAATCATCAAAAGAATTAGCAGAATAATCCAAGACTCGTAACTTTCAACGTGCTCTTGCAGGTACAGACCAAAGAACGATCTGGATGGTTAATCTTATCGTTTTACTTTACAGAAAGTTATAAGACATTCATGACAATGCACAGACGCAATCAGTAAACATTTATTAAAAAATTTTATTGAAAATTTTGGCGGAGGCGCCGGGATAATTTATAACAAAGGCTATAATTTCGGTTTCATTGAAGTAGATTGACAAATTTTCATCTTTATGTTATATTTTGTCATGCAAATGTTAATTTATATTCTTTTTTTTACAACTTGTACCTACCGAACATTAAACGTATAGAACTTTAAGAGACATTTCTCCTTCCAAATGATATGTACTTAAAATCAATTTCTGAAGTATCGATATGCAGTTAATGAACAATGAATAATGACACGTTTAGCATAGATCTATCGATGGAAAAACGGATGGGAATACTATTGCTATTCAATTTTTCTACCTATGCCTTTTTTATTATTCCGAAATTCCGAAACAAAAACGCTTCGACACTTGGACCTCTCGAAATATTCTATCTATTTATTTAGTAACAATTAATAAAGAAAAAAAAAGAACGACACAGAAAAAAAGAAAAGTTGTGAAGTATAATAGTAGCTAAATACAAAAAGCTTAGCTCTAATTCGTACCGTCTCAACATTTATTACGTTAGTGATAGTAATTCTATGATTACAAGTTTTTAATTAGTCTCTAGTTTTCGTTCGGTCTACTTTAGTCGATTAGACTAGTAGATATATACGTAATAAAAGTTAGTTTAATGTGTAGTAGTGTGATGAGTAGAGCTAGAGGCTAGTGTTTTGCAGGTTTGTGACGATGTTTACTCTGGATGTCGATGCTGTGGATCTGCGCACCTTACGCGCTATACGAGTACTAAGACCTCTCAAGCTAGTCTCTGGTATCCCTAGTAAGTAGATGCTCTGTCCGTAACCGTAATCGTATGGTCGTTTTGTAGACATGTCTCTCCCCTAATCATTTGTAATAAATCTTTTATCCCCCCCCCCAAAAATCACTTTATCAATTACGCTATAGTACAGTAGCAAAAGCCGTGGCAAGTTTTTTTTCCCGTTTCAACTAACATTACACGGTACCTACAAGTACATATTCCATGAGAAAATCGAACCTTTTCCTATTAACTCATTGTCTCATTATCCGGTTTTGCCTTATTGCTTAACATCTTATTATTTTGTTTTTGGTTTTTATTTGTATATTGGACAAAAAAGCACTTTATTTATAGCAATCGACATCCATGTTTTACCCTTAAGTATATGGCTTTTCTCTTTCAAGAGTAATGCTGAATACTTTGGAAAAGGCTTATACCTTATTATACCAAAAGGCGAAAAGTCGATGTTGATAGCTATAAATAATGTACTTTTTTGCCTCTATTTTTGGCTTTGATTTTTATATAATCATATCTTGAAAAGGGAAAGAAATGGTGATTTAAAGTGGTAGCTCCTCTTACATTGAGATATACAATATCTATAGATGTAACATTTGATGCAAATATGTATGTTAACTATCCATTTTAATTATATCACCTACTTATAACATAAATATAGGTATTTATAGTAGTAAAACATAAAAAACAATAATAATCTGAAATACGTAGGTATGTTTCAAACGGCGGAAAAAGGGAGTGATCTTTTTCTTGCCATTTTAGTTTCGTAATTTAATTTTTTTTCACATTTCCAACCCTTACATACACTATATTTGGAATTTGTTCTTTTTCATTTTTATGTAGGTATATCTATAAAAATGTAATTATTGTCTGTTATCCTTGACAATATTTGAACTAATTCGGTCTGGTTTGCTTCTTATAAACATATAATAGTTATTACGTTGTGCAATTCAAAAGTATTTTTCACTTTGTTATTTTGATTGTCACTTTATTTTGATTCTACCCACATTCGACACTTATCGCAAAAAAATTGTGCAGTCTTACGAACAATTATTTTGTTATTTTTTAACAAATACTGTACTGTAGGGTATTGTAAAAGTAAAAAGTTCTGAGTTTTAGTAAGTGCTGTCGTTAGTCAATACAACTGCTTAATTTAGGCATGTTTTTTCATTCCCTCTTGAAGTATTTGTTAAAAGATAATATGTATATGTATTACTATAATTGAGCATGTTTATAGAATACAATTAAGTGCCTACCTACTTGTTTATATTTTCAACTTTTTCATTCAACTTTTGAAATTTTTGTCTTTCAACAATTAATTAAAAATAGTGGATAATCATTCTAAAAATATTTTACCATTATTATCACAGAAGAAAACAAGTGACATTTTGTTTTATTGTTTTTTTTTTTTTTAATCAAAATAACAGTTTAATCAAGTGGACTATTTACTTAAATGTAATGTAAACGTTAATGTTGCCTAGGTCTGCAAGTAGTTTTAAAATCCATCATCAAGGCAATGGCCCCATTGCTACAGATAGGGCTACTGGTGCTATTTGCCATCGTTATTTTTGCTATTATTGGTTTAGAATTTTATTCGGGTGCGTTGCACAGAACATGCTACAGTTTATATGACATAGGTGAGAATGAAAGTGGTCTCTTCGAATGCGATTGTACTGTAATGGAGGGGGGGGGATCTATTTCAGATGAAATAGTAAAGGAGGGCGACAGTGAAGTTCCTTGTAATTCGGACAACATGACTCAGGCGCTGAAACAAGGCAGCAACTGGTGTCGTGATGGTAATTCTTTGTGCCTTGAAAGGTGGCAGGGTCCCAATAATGGCATTACTTCCTTCGATAACATAGGCTTTGCTATGCTCACCGTTTTCCAATGCATCACCATGGAGGGATGGACCGCTATACTTTACTGGGTAAAGAGGAAACAATTTCTTTTATCGTCATTACTACTGTTGGTTTAAAGGGACAACGTAGATATGAATGTTTAATTTCAGATGAACGATGCAGTTGGTAGTCATTGGAACTGGATGTATTTTGTTCCCCTAATAGTCCTCGGTTCTTTCTTCATGCTTAACTTAGTACTCGGTGTATTAAGCGGGTAAGTTCTTTTTTTTTTAAAGGCGTATCGATATTGACTCACTGATGGCTACTGAATCTTTTGGACACCGTTCGCTGTTCTAAAGTTCAATGTGTGTCTTTTTTGTTACATGTACTTACATATAATATGTAGAGAGTTTTCTAACGAAAGACTTCGCGTTGAACGTAGGGCAAAGTTCCATAAAACTCGATCAAAAAAGCTTTTCAATGAGTCGTTCGGATCTTACTTGAAATGGATCACTCAAGCAGGTGAAAATAAAGTAAAAGCCATTGCTTGGGAGTTTGTAACAATAATAACCACAACAACAACCTACCTAACAACAATTGCAATATCGTTTCCACTTACTGCTAATAACTGTTTCTAATACCGCACTTTTTACCTAATACGCATATTAGTTGATCGCTAGATATTTAATATTTACCTATAATTAAAATACTAATAAACCGCCTGCAAAGTGGAAATTTTATAATTTCACACATAGTTTCCCAATTTATTTTATTAATAAATGTAACAAGTGTTTGCTAGGTAGATACCTAAACGTATCTTTTGTACGTATTTAAAGAGCTTGTATGTATTTCTAATCCCGTAGAGAATTCGCTAAAGAAAGGGAAAAGGTAGAGAATAGACAGGAATTTTTAAAGTTAAGAAGAGCCGCTCAATTGGAGAGAGAACTGAACGGGTATGTCCAGTGGATATGTAAAGCAGGTCAGTAAACATAAAACCGTAGCTTCATAGGCTTATTTATTCCATAAATCCATGATAGATATTTAGATAGATTACATAAATATATTCCATATTTTCTATATTATTATTGTTGTGTAAAATATGCAATCAGAGGAGGTAATACTGGCTGAAGAGAGAACGACCGAAGAAGAGAAGATGCACATAATGGAAGCTAGAAGGAGGGCAGCCAAAAAGAAGAAACTGCGGAAAATTGGAAAAAGTAAAAGCACTGATACGGAAGAAGAAGAACAGGAAGAAGACATGGCAGACGATGGTAAGTATCATTTAAGATTAATGTGTGTAGATATAGTTTTTCCTTATTTATTTTAAATTGCACCACATCATGACACAATATAGGTAAAAATCGTCTCGCAGAATTCAAAAAATTATTAGGTGCGAAAGACATTATTCCCAACTTGTTTCAATAGCATTTTTATACTTATAATAATTAATATGGTACCTATGGTAACTTTTAATACGCTTTTTTAAAATACCAAGGGATTTGAGGGGTTATTAGTCCAAAAAAAGAAAAAACTAAATACCATAATTCCATAAGGAAACTTTTAAAAACGCCAAGGCGGTCACACACCCGGTGCCATCGTATGCCGGACAGACATTTTGTGCATGTCTTGCCGCACTGTTTACCGCTTAATTGGAGACTGTCTTTAACTGAGGATGGCACCTTGGGTGTCGAAATGCCTTTTAAACTTGACTTTTGAGTTAATTGCTCAAACAATTTCATATTTCGTCTCTGAGGTTCGATTACATCTGCCAACGTACATCCTCAAACAGAATCCTGTTTGTTCTGTTTTTTTNCTATACCTATATCTTACAAAGATAGATAATATGTATTTTGCGAAAAATTATTTGCAGGAGTCTCACATCTTTTTAAAATATATTGTAACAGAAAATAATTTACTATCTTTAGGTAGGTTTGAGGCAGAGGTTGGAGTAGACCTTTGGTTTCTGATACATTTTTCGAGACATTCAATCCCGAGATGGGAGGAGATTCAATGTCCAAAAATTCAAACGCAGACCATATTAAAGATAGTACCTACACAGAGTGTGGTTTCTGTTTGATATTTTTGAGATTTTCAGATTTTCTTTTCGTGTCTGTGACGATTGCGGAACCCTTTTCTGTTTTAGGTTGGCCGCAGCACAAGAGGCAGCGGCTCAGCAGAAGGCAGCTCAACAGCAGGCAGCGAAAGGGATAACGAAACGGGGGATACGGGCGGGCGCAGCTGATAGAATGGGGGGCGCAAGCACGGCTGCCGGGGCGCAAGCGGGAGGACAGGGACCAACGTCCTTGTTCATCCTGTCGGAGGAAAACATCATCCGCAGGTACTGAAGTTGCTTGGGAGTTTTGATGAAATCGCGATTTTTTTACGCTTAAGTATTAGGTACACATATCTAGCTAATAGTTGGGAAAAAATGTCGGTATTCTTATCTAATACATATTAAGGATTGACTTTGTCCTTTAAGGTACACGCGCTTTATAATCGAGTGGCCTCCTTTCGAATATGCCGTGCTTTTGACAATCATAGCGAACTGCGTGGTGCTGGCGCTCGAAGAGCACTTGCCTAGCCAGGACAAGACTATGCTAGCACTGAAACTAGTAAGTGAAAATTGTCCTTTTGCTGCTACGAATCGGTCACAGTCTGTTCTCTTTTCCAGGAAAAAACGGAAACTTACTTTTTAGGTATCTTTTGCGTAGAAGCGTCATTGAAAATACTAGCGTTAGGTTTCGTACTGCATAGAGGATCGTACCTAAGGAACATTTGGAATATCATGGATTTTTTTGTTGTACTTACAGGGTGAGTGTAGTTGGGTTGTTTCCATTAAAATGTTCGTTTTCATTGCAAAAAAGACTCGATGGAAAAATGCGAATTTCAATAAACATGACCTGTTCAACGGAAACAGAAGATCAACACAGGCGGCAAAATAACAAATAAAAGCGTCAACTTTCTAATACTTTCTAACTGATGGTTATTGCATTTTTTAAAAAATGATTGACCTTCATTAATAGCTACAAGAATAAATACATGTAAAAACATAAAATGAAATAGAATTGAACAGGTCGTGGATGAGATCGGAAATAAAATATTAAAGAGATTCCATTTGGTATTTAACTTTATCAGGTCGATGACAATTTTTGCGGAAGCGAATGTAGATGTTGATCTTCGGATGTTGCGATCGTTTCGCGTGTTGAGGCCGCTCAAGCTGGTGTCGAGGATACCAAGTAAGGGCCCCATGTCAGACAAAATAATTTGTTACCTTTTTCTTACGTCCTGCTGCTAGTGATGATATGATAATTGATTATGATAATGATCACGATTATGATGTAGTAGACAAAAGTTGTCATTTTTTACCACCCATTAGAATAAGTACCTACTTTCCTAGGTTTTTTAATTATTATCATTTAGATTAGATTTACGTATTTCTGAACGTATATATACCGTACATCCTCACACCCATATACTTATACAGCCCATCACCCTCATGTTATTCCATCGGGTGTTCATTAACATACCAGTTCACATTTCAAAAATCGATTCTTGCGGATCTCATTTGAAACGAGAAATGTCTCTTGGAAGTTTTCGTCACGTTTATATCGTATAAAAGCACTTCCATTCGTGTAATAAAAAAGTGCGTTAGAAAAAACTACTACGCTACGCGAATTCTAGAAAATTTATCTCAAAAATTCTTAATCATCAAAAGAATTAGCAGAATAATCCAAGACTCGTAACTTTCAACGTGCTCTTGCAGGTACAGACCAAAGAACGATCTGGATGGTTAATCTTATCGTTTTACTTTACAGAAAGTTATAAGACATTCATGACAATGCACAGACGCAATCAGTAAACATTTATTAAAAAATTTTATTGAAAATTTTGGCGGAGGCGCCGGGATAATTTATAACAAAGGCTATAATTTCGGTTTCATTGAAGTAGATTGACAAATTTTCATCTTTATGTTATATTTTGTCATGCAAATGTTAATTTATATTCTTTTTTTTACAACTTGTACCTACCGAACATTAAACGTATAGAACTTTAAGAGACATTTCTCCTTCCAAATGATATGTACTTAAAATCAATTTCTGAAGTATCGATATGCAGTTAATGAACAATGAATAATGACACGTTTAGCATAGATCTATCGATGGAAAAACGGATGGGAATACTATTGCTATTCAATTTTTCTACCTATGCCTTTTTTATTATTCCGAAATTCCGAAACAAAAACGCTTCGACACTTGGACCTCTCGAAATATTCTATCTATTTATTTAGTAACAATTAATAAAGAAAAAAAAAGAACGACACAGAAAAAAAGAAAAGTTGTGAAGTATAATAGTAGCTAAATACAAAAAGCTTAGCTCTAATTCGTACCGTCTCAACATTTATTACGTTAGTGATAGTAATTCTATGATTACAAGTTTTTAATTAGTCTCTAGTTTTCGTTCGGTCTACTTTAGTCGATTAGACTAGTAGATATATACGTAATAAAAGTTAGTTTAATGTGTAGTAGTGTGATGAGTAGAGCTAGAGGCTAGTGTTTTGCAGGTTTGTGACGATGTTTACTCTGGATGTCGATGCTGTGGATCTGCGCACCTTACGCGCTATACGAGTACTAAGACCTCTCAAGCTAGTCTCTGGTATCCCTAGTAAGTAGATGCTCTGTCCGTAACCGTAATCGTATGGTCGTTTTGTAGACATGTCTCTCCCCTAATCATTTGTAATAAATCTTTTATCCCCCCCCCCAAAAATCACTTTATCAATTACGCTATAGTACAGTAGCAAAAGCCGTGGCAAGTTTTTTTTCCCGTTTCAACTAACATTACACGGTACCTACAAGTACATATTCCATGAGAAAATCGAACCTTTTCCTATTAACTCATTGTCTCATTATCCGGTTTTGCCTTATTGCTTAACATCTTATTATTTTGTTTTTGGTTTTTATTTGTATATTGGACAAAAAAGCACTTTATTTATAGCAATCGACATCCATGTTTTACCCTTAAGTATATGGCTTTTCTCTTTCAAGAGTAATGCTGAATACTTTGGAAAAGGCTTATACCTTATTATACCAAAAGGCGAAAAGTCGATGTTGATAGCTATAAATAATGTACTTTTTTGCCTCTATTTTTGGCTTTGATTTTTATATAATCATATCTTGAAAAGGGAAAGAAATGGTGATTTAAAGTGGTAGCTCCTCTTACATTGAGATATACAATATCTATAGATGTAACATTTGATGCAAATATGTATGTTAACTATCCATTTTAATTATATCACCTACTTATAACATAAATATAGGTATTTATAGTAGTAAAACATAAAAAACAATAATAATCTGAAATACGTAGGTATGTTTCAAACGGCGGAAAAAGGGAGTGATCTTTTTCTTGCCATTTTAGTTTCGTAATTTAATTTTTTTTCACATTTCCAACCCTTACATACACTATATTTGGAATTTGTTCTTTTTCATTTTTATGTAGGTATATCTATAAAAATGTAATTATTGTCTGTTATCCTTGACAATATTTGAACTAATTCGGTCTGGTTTGCTTCTTATAAACATATAATAGTTATTACGTTGTGCAATTCAAAAGTATTTTTCACTTTGTTATTTTGATTGTCACTTTATTTTGATTCTACCCACATTCGACACTTATCGCAAAAAAATTGTGCAGTCTTACGAACAATTATTTTGTTATTTTTTAACAAATACTGTACTGTAGGGTATTGTAAAAGTAAAAAGTTCTGAGTTTTAGTAAGTGCTGTCGTTAGTCAATACAACTGCTTAATTTAGGCATGTTTTTTCATTCCCTCTTGAAGTATTTGTTAAAAGATAATATGTATATGTATTACTATAATTGAGCATGTTTATAGAATACAATTAAGTGCCTACCTACTTGTTTATATTTTCAACTTTTTCATTCAACTTTTGAAATTTTTGTCTTTCAACAATTAATTAAAAATAGTGGATAATCATTCTAAAAATATTTTACCATTATTATCACAGAAGAAAACAAGTGACATTTTGTTTTATTGTTTTTTTTTTTTTTAATCAAAATAACAGTTTAATCAAGTGGACTATTTACTTAAATGTAATGTAAACGTTAATGTTGCCTAGGTCTGCAAGTAGTTTTAAAATCCATCATCAAGGCAATGGCCCCATTGCTACAGATAGGGCTACTGGTGCTATTTGCCATCGTTATTTTTGCTATTATTGGTTTAGAATTTTATTCGGGTGCGTTGCACAGAACATGCTACAGTTTATATGACATAGGTGAGAATGAAAGTGGTCTCTTCGAATGCGATTGTACTGTAATGGAGGGGGGGGGATCTATTTCAGATGAAATAGTAAAGGAGGGCGACAGTGAAGTTCCTTGTAATTCGGACAACATGACTCAGGCGCTGAAACAAGGCAGCAACTGGTGTCGTGATGGTAATTCTTTGTGCCTTGAAAGGTGGCAGGGTCCCAATAATGGCATTACTTCCTTCGATAACATAGGCTTTGCTATGCTCACCGTTTTCCAATGCATCACCATGGAGGGATGGACCGCTATACTTTACTGGGTAAAGAGGAAACAATTTCTTTTATCGTCATTACTACTGTTGGTTTAAAGGGACAACGTAGATATGAATGTTTAATTTCAGATGAACGATGCAGTTGGTAGTCATTGGAACTGGATGTATTTTGTTCCCCTAATAGTCCTCGGTTCTTTCTTCATGCTTAACTTAGTACTCGGTGTATTAAGCGGGTAAGTTCTTTTTTTTTTAAAGGCGTATCGATATTGACTCACTGATGGCTACTGAATCTTTTGGACACCGTTCGCTGTTCTAAAGTTCAATGTGTGTCTTTTTTGTTACATGTACTTACATATAATATGTAGAGAGTTTTCTAACGAAAGACTTCGCGTTGAACGTAGGGCAAAGTTCCATAAAACTCGATCAAAAAAGCTTTTCAATGAGTCGTTCGGATCTTACTTGAAATGGATCACTCAAGCAGGTGAAAATAAAGTAAAAGCCATTGCTTGGGAGTTTGTAACAATAATAACCACAACAACAACCTACCTAACAACAATTGCAATATCGTTTCCACTTACTGCTAATAACTGTTTCTAATACCGCACTTTTTACCTAATACGCATATTAGTTGATCGCTAGATATTTAATATTTACCTATAATTAAAATACTAATAAACCGCCTGCAAAGTGGAAATTTTATAATTTCACACATAGTTTCCCAATTTATTTTATTAATAAATGTAACAAGTGTTTGCTAGGTAGATACCTAAACGTATCTTTTGTACGTATTTAAAGAGCTTGTATGTATTTCTAATCCCGTAGAGAATTCGCTAAAGAAAGGGAAAAGGTAGAGAATAGACAGGAATTTTTAAAGTTAAGAAGAGCCGCTCAATTGGAGAGAGAACTGAACGGGTATGTCCAGTGGATATGTAAAGCAGGTCAGTAAACATAAAACCGTAGCTTCATAGGCTTATTTATTCCATAAATCCATGATAGATATTTAGATAGATTACATAAATATATTCCATATTTTCTATATTATTATTGTTGTGTAAAATATGCAATCAGAGGAGGTAATACTGGCTGAAGAGAGAACGACCGAAGAAGAGAAGATGCACATAATGGAAGCTAGAAGGAGGGCAGCCAAAAAGAAGAAACTGCGGAAAATTGGAAAAAGTAAAAGCACTGATACGGAAGAAGAAGAACAGGAAGAAGACATGGCAGACGATGGTAAGTATCATTTAAGATTAATGTGTGTAGATATAGTTTTTCCTTATTTATTTTAAATTGCACCACATCATGACACAATATAGGTAAAAATCGTCTCGCAGAATTCAAAAAATTATTAGGTGCGAAAGACATTATTCCCAACTTGTTTCAATAGCATTTTTATACTTATAATAATTAATATGGTACCTATGGTAACTTTTAATACGCTTTTTTAAAATACCAAGGGATTTGAGGGGTTATTAGTCCAAAAAAAGAAAAAACTAAATACCATAATTCCATAAGGAAACTTTTAAAAACGCCAAGGCGGTCACACACCCGGTGCCATCGTATGCCGGACAGACATTTTGTGCATGTCTTGCCGCACTGTTTACCGCTTAATTGGAGACTGTCTTTAACTGAGGATGGCACNATGCTCCAACAATAATAATTTAAATATATATATATATATAGACAATATGTACGTGCATTAACAGTAAGTGTGTTTTTATCTTTCCGGTATGCACGCCAATAATACCATCAATTACATTTATTCATTATTATAAATGATCCTTGTTTTAATTTATTGCAATATAAATATAGGTACCTACAGTGTATGTATTCTAGCATGTTGCAGTGCATTTGCGAAACCGCGCACGCTGTTTCTTTTCACAATTTACACATTTTTTACATCATTCTTTTCAACTCTAGTTTGAACTTTTTATTAATGTTCGGTTTTGTAAGTGGTACCTAGGTACCCTTTCGATTTTTTCAAGTTTTAAAAGAGTACCCACCTTTTGCCGGATTCAATTTCGTTTAACAAACAAACATTGAAACTATGACGGTATAAAAATAAAATAAGTTGTAAGGGGAAAATAATTGTTTAATAAAAAAAGCCCGTACACAAAACACATCCGGCAACTGTTACACAGGAAACACGATTACCTTTTTAATTGATAATTTACACAAAAAATCTATAAAATGCTTTTATGACTATTTAACTGATGTCGTCTTTTAATCCACAGTATTTCTTACAGAGTCTAAGAAAAAGCTAAAAGGTATGGGAACTGGTGGATCCTTTTAGTTGTCGATGCTAATAAATGTACCGTACCAGTTCAAATTAGTGTTAACATGTAGACTGCATACTACTTAACTACAATATGTATAGTAAAACTAAAGCTTTCGTAAACAAACACCTTAATGAACAGATATTGTTTTTTAAAGAACAAAAAAATGAAGAGGTTAAAAAGTAACACTAAAGTAAAAATTTACAAATCTAGGCAATACTTACGATGTTTTGGCAAAATTGGTATCTTTTAAAAATCAGTATCTGTACTAGAACCTAATAGAAATTTATTCTTAAAACTTGCTAAGTACCTAAACGAAAAAAAAAATGCCATTAAGTATTATACCTATATAAAAATCATCTCATACATGCTAATTATCGATGTGAGTACATTTTGCATGCTTTTAAAAAAGACCGTCGCACAAAGCAAAAAAAAGAAATTTGCAAATTTTGTTACCACACTACTAGACAAATTAGTAACAGCTTGCTTCTTCTGATAGTAATTGTAAATAGTTTTATTGTTTTAGGCAGTAGCGGGTAGTTTAGTAGTCGTAATTACCTGATAACAATAAAAAGTAGGGAATATTATATTCATATTCTCTATAGATACTTAAATATCTAAATAGATAGTTGAATCGAGTCACCTTTAGTAGAAAAGACGATATATTCTTGTTCTAGTAGTCTCGCTTATCTTACGCTAATCATTATCGATATGATACGATAATTTAAATGCATAAATATGTATAAAGTAATTAAAAAGTTTTAGATACTATGCCATAATTAATTGCCAGTTACTTATGTACCTATTTTATGTAATTGGTATGTATTTACCTGATTTTTGTTGTTAAAAAGAGAGTGTCTAATCTATCTATTAACAAGTTAAAATAATTCAAATTTATCGGATATTTTGAAGGCGTTATGCGAAAATGTGTGATGAAAGTAGTATTTTTGACAGGTTTCGGCAAAACTGGCTATCTCAAATCTAGAGTAAAGAACCAGGGAGGTTGTGCAGGCTTTTGGAGGGCAGAAAAGAGGCTCAGGTTCAAAATCAGACACATGGTAAAAGCACAATGGTTTTATTGGTTCGTAATCGTTCTCGTATTCTTCAATACCCTTTGCGTTGCCGTGGAATACCATGGACAACCGGATTGGCTGACTCGTTTCCTTTGTAAGACATTAAAACCAATAGCAAATGATAAAAAATATACGTGAAGTGAACACTTCTTACCCCCATCTAAATATTTAAATTACATGTACGTATAAGGTTTAAGAGAAGTGTTCACTTAAAGATGCATATATGTTTTTGTCGTTATTTTTAGGTGGTTCCATTTTTTTTTTGGTTTTCTTTTTCAGTTTATGCGGAATACGCTTTTTTGTGCCTCTTCATGTCGGAGATGTTTATCAAAGTGTACGCGCTTGGACCGCGAATTTATTTCGAATCGGCTTTTAATCGTTTCGATTGCGTAGTGATAATGGGTTCAGTTTTTGAAGTGGTATGGTCGGCAGTGAAGGGGGGCTCGTTCGGTCTATCGGTGTTAAGGGCTCTTCGACTATTACGAATTTTCAAAGTTACCAAGTATTGGTCCTCGTTACGGAACTTGGTGATATCGTTACTGAATTCGATGCGGTCCATCATCTCGTTGTTGTTTCTTCTGTTTCTTTTCATACTTATATTCGCGCTTCTCGGGATGCAACTTTTTGGAGGACAGTTCAATTTTGATTCCGGCACTCCACCGACTAATTTCAACACGTTTCCCATCGCTCTGTTAACCGTTTTCCAGGTAGGAACTTACTTAATGTTTTTTTTTTTTACTACGGGTTCTCATCGATAACTTTTAGATTTTAACTGGCGAAGACTGGAACGAGGTCATGTACCAGGGGATCGAGGCCCAAAATGGCGGAATGATTTATTCACTTTACTTTATCGTACTCATGTTGTTCGGTAATTATACACTGTTGAACGTGTTCTTGGCCATCGCCGTTGATAACTTGGCGAACGCTCAAGAACTAACTGCAGCAGAAGAAGAACAAGCGGAAGAGAACAAGGAGAAACAGGCACTCGAATTGGAAAAAGAAATGGAAGCGCTGCAAATGGAGGGTAACTTAATTTATATTGTTTGTTTACTTATTTACCCATATTTTTTTGTTAGGGACGCCACCGAAAGTAGAAATATGTCCTCCCAGTCCAAACGCACGCGGAAAAAAGAAGAAGGAAGAAAAACCTCCACAGGAAGAGGAGGAAGAAATAATTGGACCGAAACCAATGCTGCCCTATTCTAGCATGTTCATACTTTCTCCCACAAATGTGTACGTATCTTTGAGTGTTGTGAATGTTATCGTAACATTAAGTCTTAATCATTCAAAGAAAATGACATACTAATGACTTGATTTGTATTGATAGAATAAGAAGAGGCGCTCACTGGGTTGTGAACCTGCGATATTTCGACTTTTTTATCATGATAGTCATTTGTCTCAGTTCTATCGCATTAGCGTGCGAAGATCCCGTCAATGAAAAGTCCTTCCAGAACAGCATCCTCGATCAGTTCGATTACGCGTTTACTGGAGTTTTTGCCGTCGAAATGTTCCTCAAGATCGTCGACTTGGGTATCATTTTGCATCCCGGCTCCTACTTACGAGAATTTTGGAACATCATGGACGCTGTAGTCGTCATATGTGCTCTCGTATCGATGGGGTTCGATTTTGCGTAAGCAATTTTCAACTTCGTTAAAAAAGTTTTAAATTCAATGAAATCTTTTCCAGAGTACATTACGATTTCTATTAAGTAAAAATTGAAAGAGGGTTCTTTTTCATTTCCTGAAGGATCATGGTTTCAAAAGAAAGCGACCTTCGAGAAATGAAAGAAGAACTCTCTGTGCCGTTATGCTCGCCCCCTTCTCATCTTTCGCTTTTTTCTATCAATAGAAACTTTAGTCTATCCGTCAACGTTTATTTATTGAGTATTTAAAATTACTAATTTGTTTTTTCTTGTTGTAGGAAAAGCGACGCCGGCGCCAACTTGTCTACGATTAAATCTCTGCGAGTGCTGCGTGTTCTTAGACCTTTAAAAACAATTAAACGTGTACCTAAACTGAAAGCCGTATTCGATTGCCTCGTGAACTCTTTAAAAAATGTGATAAACATTTTAATAGTATATATACTGTTTCAGTTTATATTTGCCGTGATAGCAGTGCAACTGTTCAATGGAAAATTTTATCATTGTACCGACGCGAGCAAATTCACTAAAGAAACCTGCCAGTAAGTGAAAACTAGGAATTTGATGTGAAACTTCTTTAGTGACATCGAGATTGGGAGTGCGGCCACCAGATAGCCCTACGGTACGGTCACAGACGAAAGGAGTATGAATTTCTACCTTACGTGTATGGATTGGTAACTGTAACCAGCGCAATTCGTAAAGGCGCTTTGTCTTCCGAATGTTAGATGGCGCCAAAGAAGTTTCACCTCCATTACGTTCGACGATGAGACGCGCGCCATTTTTCTATTATCAGTGCTTGTGTCCAGTAAACAATATTAATTACTTTTCAGGGGCCAGTATTTTGTCTACGAAGAGGACAGCGATGTTCCACAGGTCGAAGTTCGCGAATGGAAACCACAATGTTTTACGTACGATGATGTGGCCAAGGCAATGCTCACATTATTCGCTGTGCAAACAGGAGAGGGCTGGCCTCAGTGAGCTTAAAGATACATATATTAATACGCTATTAATTTTTTGTTTTCCCTCATGTTTTTCCCTACGCTTCTGTTACATTGCGAAAATCTGATTGATAAGTAAATAAAATAAACTGATGTTTATTTCAGAGTACTCCAAAATTCCATGGCTGCGACTTACGAAGACCGAGGGCCTATTCAAAATTTTCGAATAGAAATGTCCATTTTCTATATCGTCTACTTCGTAGTGTTTCCATTCTTCTTTGTAAATATATTCGTGGCCTTAATTATAATCACGTTCCAAGAACAGGGCGAAGCCGAATTGCAAAGCGGAGAAATCGATAAAAATCAGGTAAAAACAGTTTATTACCTTCTTAAAATGTAGAAGCAGAAAATAGAGGCTGTGGTAAATAGCTGTAAATAAACCGAAATAGAGAGTCATGTTCTAGTTACTACTAAACCTTTTCAATGTGGACATGTATTTTGCCCACTTGTAATGTACACATTATTTTTGGTAATTTCTTTTGTATGTAACAAGTTCTTCCCCCCCCTATCAGAAACTGTTAGCACAATTGCTTCGAGTGGTCGAAATTTGTAACTTTTGTAAACAATTTGTTTAATCATTTTGTGTTAAATAATTATTTGAAAAATTAAATTTAAAGTAATTGTAAATAGGTATGCAACACATCGTACATTTCAGCATAAGAATTGCCGACACTAACTACGTAATACTATTTTGCCCTCTGCTGACAGCACTCATAATTTTTTATATATAATATTAATTAACTCCTAGATACTATCTGGAATGTTATTACCATTGGTAGGCTAGCTGATAACTTGAAGTGAATTGCATTAAAAATTAGATAAATAAATAAATAGTTGAGGGAATATGGGAGGATCACTGCAAGTCAAGAGTAGACTAGTAAGGAATAGTGTGTTTATTTATTACATTCACCTTTTACATTAGATGTTTTACAGTAATACAATGTGTATAACACTGTAGGCTTAGACACAAGGTAACAATAGGTGTGTTCTTTTAGAAATCATGCATAGACTTTACTATCCAAGCTAGGCCGCTTGAACGCTACATGCCGACCAAGAGGAACAGCTTCAAATACAAAATTTGGAGGATCGTCGTTTCTACCCCATTTGAGTATTTCATCATGATGCTTATCGTATTCAATACGCTACTGCTTATGATGAAGGTATGTTTCTTGTTACGTCTTCTCAATTATTAATTATTTATGAATCTATTAGAAATTAAATCTATTAGAAAAATCCGGTGAAGGCGAGTGGGAGATCTGTTGGTTGAAGCGTTATAAAATTAAGAATTAGTTAATTATTACAATACAATATTTATTTTTTATAAGTTTCAGGAACCGCACGATTAACTTTTACTCTGCTACATATATTTTGCATTTAAACTTCCGACTTTGTCAAAACTTAAAAGTTAATTAAAAACAGAAATTATAAAAAGTCGGCAGCCAAAAAGGAATAATAAAATATCCAACCACACAAACATTTGCCCAAACAAATAACACGAAAAGTTGGATTGCGCACTTTGACTTGAGGCTGAACTCGTTTCATTAGTGTATTGTACGTGTTTTATGTGTATGATTGGCAGAATGGAAAATGACTATAATTTTTGCTTAAAAACAAAAGATAAGATCAAACAATAATAGGAAATCAATCCAGAGGAATTATTATCTGAATAGTTCCTTTCTCTAGTTGTGACGCATATTTAAGTAATGAATGCCTATGTTTAATTTAAAAACGTATAATATTTTGTCACAGGTAGAAAAAAAATCGTGCTTTCTATTGTTAATCGTTTGAATGCTTTGACTAATTTTATGTTTTTTATTTAAATGATTAGTTTGAAATGCTACGCGATACAAGTTATGATGCATGATTCTATCGACAACATACTTACCTAACTTCACAGAAGCAGAGCTGGTTGCACTATTAACTACATATTTACCTAAAAACTATTTCCAATTTTATCTTTGAAGTTATTATTAACCTAGCTAGTTGACTAGCAAGTTGGATTCCGGGTTGGTCACCGCGTTGTCGGTTTACTTTTCTAGATGTTTTGAAAATCGTGTCGCAGTTTGAAACTGTATCAGAAACTCTTCCAAAGAAAAGAGTGACATGACGTCAAAAAAATAAACCGACATCGTATGGGGTAACCAACGACAGAAGGATGATGTTCGACTTTTATTTAATAAATAGGCACCTACAATAATTACACCACAATATTTGACATCCTATATTTATTTATTTATTTATGTTGCTGTTGTTAGCATTTTTATACCTATTTGTCGTATATCTTGATTAGTATCAATCAAAGAATAAAGTACTTATTACTTATGATATATATCGACATATGTGTTGCTATATATGTTAACAGCAAGACAAGCAGAGCAAATCCTTCACCGATATTCTTAAGTACCTCAACTGGGCATTCACAAGTCTGTTCACAGTGGAATGCGTACTCAAGATTCTTGCCCTAGGCGCACGGGTAAGACATCATAGTTTGAAGCGAAACCAAAAACAAGAAAAAATAACAAAAACGAAACAAATCCGTTGCTTCAAATTGTATGAACGTCGAAAGTTTTTCTTTCTTATCAACATTGATTGTCCAAAATTTTGTGTATTTACCAAAAAGCGCGTTTGTTTGCTTTCTGTAAAAGCAGAAAACGTTAAACTCGAAGACAGTTAATTAATTTTTGCTTTTCACGTTCAGAATTTGAAAGTCGACGAGGAGATTTTGATTTATTTATATTATTTTATTATTATTTATCGACACCCTGTTTATTATTATAAATACAATCCCTCCAGATGCTGCTGTGATTTGCTTTGCGCGCGTGCATGTGATTTATTTTTTGTCTTTTTTTGTGCATCTTGTCATGCCAGCACTATCACTGCAGACACCACATCAACATACCTGAGAATGACAGCAACACACACGAAGCATACATATAAATAAATATAGATATTATATAAAATATGATATTCTATACGTATTTGTTCGCATATCGCATAAGTACCTACACGTCTAGATTTTATCGGTAGGTAATAAAAAATAAAACTATAAAAAGGTTGGTGTGACATACATATACATATTTAAAGGCAGGTATATTAATTGGTATACGTACATATATGTATTCCATTTTTGCCATATTGAATATTGGCTTTGCCGACTTTTTCCATTATTTATGCTCAAGTTTACAGTATTGTATCAGGTAGGCAGATGCTTCTAGCGTTTAGCGCCTATATATTTTGAGTTGTTGTAGTACCACGATGCTCCACCTTTGCTATCTGACATCCTGGCTGCCATGAACATTCTGTTTACCTTCCTATTTCTTTGCGAAACGGTTCTCAAGCTGATCGCCTTCGGGATAAAGGTAAAGTACTTCCTTCGAACGAACATACTAATATCTGTCTACATATATTATACTTATTTACCTACCTCTGATTTTTTTTTCTACAATGCTCTTTTACAACTCTTAACATGTGGTGGGCCTTTCACTGTGTAGGTACTACATTTATAAAATAGATACATATTGTACATCATTATCATGTACGTTTTAGAGTGACTCACAAAAAGCAAAACTTCTTCCTTAAAGAGTATTCATGGAAAATAGATGTATTATTGTATAAAAATGATTCGGTACTTCGGTACAAAAGCAGTGAAAGTGAAATCACCTAATGTTTCATCCTGTCGTATTGTATTCCTAGTAAAATTAGACAGTTACTGATTTATATTTATATTAATATTCTAATCCTATCATTTCTACGTTATGTATTGTGTCTAGGTATGTAGGTTGAAAGCGTTATTACTTAATACTAGAAACAAAAATTTATAAGCAATTCTCAACTGGCTTGTGTTCCCAATAACATAATCGGCAAATCATCAGGAATACGATGTTCACCGTAGTTATTATACGTTGTCATGTTACCGTTAGTATTCCATATTATTATTATTATATAGTTGTCTTGATCGCTTATTCGAAAAGAAGCATTTAGCGTTTGTCTTTTTATTTTTTGTTCGTTTCATTATGAAAAATACAAAGTACATACACACACAATTTCTTTAACCAATAGCATAAGCAGTAGGTAGAATATTAAACTAGTAGTTTTATTAGCAAAAAAGCTTGCTGTCCAGGACCCCTAATCATTTCATTATTTTTCTATTTCCCTTCTTTCGTTCTTTCCAAGCTATATTAAATTAGACTTTTTTTAATATAAAAGAGAAATACATTTAAGATATTGCGAGCTATTATTAGATTAGTTAAATTTTCTTAGTGTTTGAGATTAAAAAATTCAAATTTAATAAAGTACTTAGTCTTCACGTTGTTAAGTAAGTAATCTAATTTCTGTGAGTAGATAGTGTAAAATTGAACTGGCTTTATAAATTGTTAACTTTTTATCATAATATAAAGAACTCTAATGAAAACAAAAATAATTCAGTGTCTACTCATTTATAAGTACAAATAATAATGAAAGTGCATATGTTTTCAGAATTTCTTTAAAGACCCATGGAACACCTTTGACTTCGTCACAGTCATTGGAAGCATAGTGGACGCAATGGTTGTGGAATTTGGGGTAAGTTTCATTATTTTGAAATTAAAAATAGCACTCGTAACAAAATGAAAAGAAAAAAAGTACAAAACCCCCGAATTTCAATTTTTGTAGCAATCATCTTTCACACATACACACACCTTTTACACTTTACTAATGTGTTACACTGATATTTTTAACACTAAAGCTTTCTTATTTTATGTCGTTCGATTCTTTTGAAGGAAAGGGCTGCGACGACCGCAAAAGAAAGGGTACGTGCAATTTGTTTTGAAGAGGTCGATTACGTTTTGTTTATTATTATTATAAGTGTTTGAGCTTTCGATTAATTTGTAGGTATCGTATAAATATTTGCTTCCTAATATGTTTTTTAATTACATTATGGAATTCATATTGATTAAGAATACTTTAAAATTTACTCCGCCTTTGAAAGAGCTGATTAAATACCTAACGGTTTTGCCTGCGTATGTTGCTTAAACTATAATAAGTAGGCATATCATTTTTTTGTTTCGGTTTAATAAAATACATTATTAAATACGATATTATCCATATTCGATGAGATACATGTGTATACGTATGTGTAATGCCAATAAAAGCATTGGCCTTTCTTATATTTATATTCCAATTATGGAATATAACAATAAGTAAAAATTATTCTTACTTAGCCGTTACAGCACAGGCACAGTGAATAGATAATTGAATGTAGTTTTATGTGACGAAAATTCATTATAAATAGCAATAGAATATCAACTTGGTACCCATGTAATTCCATAAAATGAAACTGTTCAATTGTTTCGCCAGCACTATGACTTCTTCAGAAGTTTTACATGAACTTAAACCATGCTTAAAATTCGTTGCCTAGTCGTAAGTTCATTTAAAATTTCTGATGATGCTAGAATACTAGCAAAACAATTATCAAGTTCGTCAACAGAATTTTGTGAAAACATGTGCATACGTTCAGGTACTTGTACGGTGTGGTATTTTATTGTTAATAATAATTAATATCGTAATATAGTAGGTAATAAAGAAGCTATTGATAACGTAGTGGCTAGAATTAAATTGCTATCGTGACTAAGACATTTAGCAGTTTTATCATGCAGTCCAGTAGACCTAGAAGACCAGTTTCGTACATGAAAACAGGTTTGTTGCTACCATCGATTGTTCTCTAGGCCTAGGCTCTACCTTACCTTACCTTACCAACCAACAAATTACGCATGTTATATACCTATACTAAATCTCTGATGCATCTTCACCTTGACATGACTGCATCAAAAATAAAGCAGACTTAATTTTTTTTTTTTCGAAAACAATCAGCACATTTAACATACGTACTATAATAAGTGTCAATTCTTTACTGATGCAGATAGCACTGCATGACCACAAATAACAAAAATCTTACTTAAATACCAGCCACCGTATTTTTTTAACAATTAAGCAATTGTACTTCTTGGTAAGTATAATGTATGCTTAATGTATACGTATAGGTATTTATAGTAGGTATCTACTGATCTGATCATAAGTTGTATATACCCACCTGCCATATACACATACATTAATGTATACACAGAACGAATTAAAGAACATTAGGCACAAAATTTACCACGCTCAATATACCTGTACACAATAACACTTGTCATCTATCCAACACATAAACGAAATTAAATATTTTTTTAATGTTGTAATTTTATGCCGTGTGCCGTTTTCTTATTACATGGCTAACTTGCTGTGTGGGTACGCAGAAAAAGCGATACGTAAGTTTATGGACGGCCATGCATATGTATATCTGACGTTTTTTTTAACGTGTCCTTTCCAAACAACTTTTTCTCTAACAACTATTTTTATCTATATTATATATGTATATGTACCCACACCTAAAGTACAATGGTTCATTATGTAATGGTCATATCATAATCGAATATTAATGCCCCCCATGGAGTTAAATGCCTCTAAATATGCATATACAGTATAAAGCGTCAAGCTTTGCCTTAAAGGTTTCAATTTTTATCATGAACGATAGTACCTGTACTCTCTTAATTAGATAAAATTTAATCATTTGGCAATGTTACGAATTTAAGTATTCAAGTATGGGCAGTGTATATAGTGGATATTTGCTCTTACTGAAGTATTTCGTATGTTATACAAGGCCTTATGAATTTTAGTTTCGTTGGTATATAGTTCTAATATTGAAAATTATGTCATTAAATGCCCTAAATTTTTTTATAAGTTGCTTAATACTATTGGTAAGGAATTAATCAACTTTCAGATATATGGTGATTGAGAAAAAGAATAACTACCTATCTATCACGAAGTTTTAAGTTTTTTAAAAGGGAGAATTCCGAGGGTTTTGAATAAAAAAAAAAAGGTTGAAAATTGGGGTTGGGATTAATTTCAGTTAGGCACATCCATAGAGACCATGGAAACATTACACATTACTATTCAGTTATGACCATTTTAAGGGCCACCTCATTAACCTACATGCATATCTTCGTAAAAATTATTAAAGTTTCCATTTGAATTTCTGCTTGTACCTACCCTTGTTGATTATCAATGTATCGTTTATATAAATGTGTATTTTATTCGTAAATGTACCTTGCTTTTTTATTTTGCCTATCTTCTCCTAAAGTCGCGATGAAAGTTTTAATCCTGCTTTCACACTCATGTTGCAATATGTACTTCCTAACTTCTTAGTACCGTTATAGTTGAAAATTAAATATTTGCTTTTTTCATATTAAACAATAAATTGTAAAAATTTAATTAGGTACACTTGGTACATACATATACAAAGTGCACATTCCTTTTCAAAGTGCATTTTTAAGTAAATAGGTACTTTATAAATGAAATAAAAATACCTAATAGTCCGATAAAAAATTAATGAATAAAGAATTAGGAGATTATCTGCCCAAGACATATGACCCACCCTAAGACTCATTAGTTATTAAATATTAGAGTGCAAGAAGTAACTTTAGTTCTTCTAGTCAAGCTTTTAACATAGATCTAGTTGAAATATAATGTTTTTTAGCAATCCTATGTATTGTTAAGTGTACATGAACGTGAACGGTACGAAATATTTTAAGGGACGTAACAAAGTTAAATTATTTTACAGGAAAACTTCATAAACGTCGGATTCCTGAGACTTTTTCGTGCTGCAAGACTCATTAAATTATTAAGGCAAGGTTACACCATTCGCATTTTACTTTGGACCTTCGTTCAAAGTTTTAAAGCTTTGCCTTACGTTTGTCTACTAATTGCAATGCTGTTCTTCATTTATGCAATAATTGGCATGCAGGTCTGTCTTTATTTGACATATCCTAATATTTTTTATTATAGTTTATATAATTATTTGTTTACAGGTGTTCGGCAATATACAGTGCAATCCCAAGGAATCTATAAACAGGCATAATAATTTCCGAAACTTTATTCAAGGCCTTATGTTACTTTTTCGGTAAGATTGATCGATTATTAAAAGTGATGGGTAACGGATTGACATATTTTAGATGTGCAACGGGAGAAGCTTGGCCAAGTATAATGTTGTCATGTATAGAAGGACAACCTTGCGATCCTGAAGCTAACAAAGAACCAAACAGTTGCGGGTCCAATTTGGCTTACGGATATTTCGTTTCGTTCATATTTTTCTGTTCATTCTTGGTAAAATAATTCCACGACAAAAAAATGTAAAGGCGTATTGAGTCATTCTTATTAATTGCAGATGCTTAATTTATTCGTGGCAGTAATCATGGATAATTTCGATTATTTAACACGAGACCCGTCCATCCTAGGAGCTCATCATCTGGACGAATTTGTTCGCATTTGGGCTGAATACGATCCAAATGCTACGTAATTATCCATTTTTATTTTTTTTTTTCAAATTAACTTCATGTAAATAATATGTGTTTGCAGGGGTAAAATTACGTACCAGGAGATGTATGATATGTTAAAAAATATGGACCCTCCCTTAGGATTCGGAAACAAATGCCCCAATCGTTTGGCGTATAAAAAACTCATAAGAATGAACATGCCGGTTGACGAAGAGGGTAAAGTTGCCTTTACAACAACTCTCTTTGCCCTCATAAGAGAAAATCTGAATATTAAGATGAGACCAGGTAAGACTTAACTCCAATAAAAAAAGTTACAAGTAGATTTAGATTTATTTTCGTATTAGCAGCAAAGAAACGCAACCTTAGGAGATTTTTTTACAAAATAATTCTTGACTTGCATGTTTCTTCAGACAATAATACAGAGGAAGATAGATAAGATACATGGGCAATTTCAAAAGCAAATAAGTAACTCATTAGTTTCTAATCATACCTCAGATTGAATGACACTAAATCGATCAAAATAATATATAAAAGAATCAAGTCAAAAGTCGTGTCTTATTGTTTACACACAATTATTATATTATACATCAAAGAGAGCATTGCTTTTGGATCGATTTGGTATCATTTTATGCGAGATAGTTATAGAAACCGGTGAGTTATTTTGTATCTAAGCATATAAATTAATATGTGTGCATACCAATGTACGTTGTGCTATTTTCCGTTACAGCGGAGGAAATGGATCAAGCCGATGAAGAATTAAGAGACACTATAAAGACCATTTGGCCCCTACAAGCGAAGAATATGTTGGATCTTCTTGTGCCTCCCAGAAACCAACTTAATACGGGAAAATTGACGGTAGGAAAAATTTACAGTGGTCTCCTCATCTTAGAAAATTGGAGAACAACAAAGTTCGGTCAAATCGAACCCACAGGAATTCCGGTATGTTTCTTTCGATTTTGTTTTTTTTTTTTTTAATTTTAACTGGTCTTAAACAAATAATGTTTGTACGCTTTTTGTGTTTTTCTATCGAAAAAATTTATAAATCCCTAAATACAAGTACACCTATGTACTTACTTATTGTTAGTTTTATGCGTATTCGTTCAGGAATCTGTATGTTCTTTAAGTATTTTTTATTACGTACTAGTTTTTATGTTTAATAAATTTAAAGTAATGCTATCGTACAAATAACAGAGTCAAAATCATAATGACTCTAGCAAAAGAAAACCACGAAAACTTGAAGAAAGATCTAAAACTTATGTTCGTTTTTTTTTTTTTTTAATTTTTGGTTTGGAATCTTTAACTTTCTGATATCAACAGTTTTTGTAATCGTCGTTAGTAATCCTTTAGTTTCCAGTTAGGAGATTAGCAATAGGTACCTCTTTGTTGTTTTAGTTTAGCGTGTCACAAAAAAAGAGTGAGAGAAAATATGTTTAGCATCATTAGGACATACTTAGTGCCCTATAACTTGTCTATTATTTATTGCAGGAATACGGAAATAGTTCAGCAGCGAATCACGCGGTAGTACTTTATTTTGTACTTTTAGTCACTTTATTTAGTTGCTCGAATTTCACTTGTTTTTTCCTTTGAGTATTTATGTATCTAATATTTATTAACAAACCTTCTTAAACTTACACTTACACTTACTATTTATTCATATACTTAGTATACTAGTATTTTTATCACTTTTACCTTAAGCAGCATAGAGGTTTCTGAAATGTTTTTGAGCATTATTACTTATTATTGCCTGCGTGCTGCAACGTGAAAGTATTTTAAATAATCGGAAACATATGATTTTGCTTTTTAATATATACTATCTATCGATTGGAATATTTCCTGTTATATAAAATACCTTCACTACACATGCACATTTCCGTATTTTCAATTAAATAATTATTACATTAGTCAAGTGCCAGTGTGCCGTTCGACTCTCTTCTCTACATTTAGTCTTAGATATATATTAGAGAGTTCTTCTAATTAATTAGATTTGGTGCATGACTTTGACTTCTTCTTCTTCTTCATATTTTTCTTCTACTACTTATTTTGCCAAGTCCGTACTGCAAAATAATATTTAACAAATTAGAAACTGCCTGTGCTGTGGCAATTTTATTATTAATTAAGCTTTTTATTGATCGCTGTTATTTGCTGTTCGAACTTAGCAAAAATCGGTATTTAAGCTTGGTTTTCGCTTTCATTTATTTATTATGCGATACAAGCCTATCCAGATATAAAAAGGTGCGTGTAGAAAAACGCATTCATTTAAATTTTATCACTCCCAATAACTTATCCTGTTATCATTCCAATGAATTATTATTCAACGTTAATACAATGAAAATCAAGCTTAATTAATAATTAAAAGCAAATTAATCTGCATGTGTACTGGTGTAGTTATTCACTAAAAACACTACTTGGAAAAATTTTAAATAAAACTATGTCAAACACTAAAACAAGAACAAAAAAAAAAAGCAATAGAAAGACAGTTGCATTTACATGGTTAATTTTACGTATTTACCATAAAATGGTTTCAAATATCCAACAACTCATTTCAAAGCAAGGCAACAATCAACAACCGTATTTGGTATTTAGGTGGTCTAGGTCAATGTTGTTAATTATTGTTTTAATCAGTATTTGCTGAAGATGTTATGAGTGTTACGTGTAGCATAGAGAGAGAAAGGTTAAAATACAGTTAATATTGGATGATAACAGAAAGCGTCGTTTTTTGACTGCATAATGGATATGGCGGGACACCTGAACGAGAGTCGAACAGGGTCCCTAAGTATGGAAGGTGCACCCTTGATGGCTGGTCAGGATTCCTCTGAAACACATCATCTACACCAACACGAAGAAAGTTCGCTTGTTTCGCTGGCCCGTCGCAATACCAAAAAACGATCGTTTAGGTAATTTTATCATTGATTTTTGTATTAAAACTTCTGAGTTTTGGTAATTGTCTTACCCATCGTGGCAGATATCCTATAAAAAAGCTAAAGACGTTCGAAACTAAAGGTCGAGCAAAGAAGTTTAATTTTTCTTTTTCTTAAAAAAAATGCAAAACTAAGTTTACTTTACTGTTTTAATAAGCTTAAAATCAATTGTGCTCAATGGTAAATACTAACTATTTTCCTAAATTAATTAACGAAATACGAATCAAAATTATTTTTAAACAAAATCATATAAATACGTACATAAGATTGATTTTTAATTCAACAACTAGTACAGACCCATTAAAGAATGACTCCCAAACATTAGCCTGTGTTTTTTTCTTTTATTAAGTGTTTACGGCAGTTTTTCTTTTTGTTACAGGAATAAAAAGGTGAAAATTGACAACTTATGGGGTAGTATGTAAAATTAAGTATACATAGATTAAAGTTTAACTTCGACGACCTAGCAAAAAGTTTTTAGGAGTTTGTCTTCTCTTTAGTTAAAAAACGTCCGAATTAGATGATCAGTAAAACAATTCCTTTATATCGTAGGTACATTTACCTATATTTACGTATAGTGAACCTATCTATTATAATACTATAAATTAATTTATAATTACCTACTTAGTTTATAGCGAGTGTATCGAATTCTATACACGCATTTTTATCAAACTAGAGCTGTTTGATGTTCTCAAAAAATATTTATTTGTAGCTGTTTGGTAAATATACAATAATAGGAAAATGAGTAAATATGTAGGTACTTTTAGCGTTTGAGTATTTCGTGGTGAGTTAAAGGAATAGATAAGGACACGACAACTAACTACCTTTTACTCTTGTAGTTGTTTAAAAACCGTACCTACCCAAAACATAACACGGGAGGAATGTGTTTGTAGTTGACTTGGTGGAGGGTATTTTTTTTTAGTGTTTGCGGTTTACATTTTATTATATTGTACTATATAACTTGGGCACGACGTTTTTGCATGTTTTCTAATAGTGCATGACTTTATCTTCGTATTAGTGTCATGCCTCTGTTTTCCGACCACATAGATATACTTACGTTTAGTATATTTATACCTTCAGAACGACATGCAAAAGAAAACAAGAAAATGGTGTCTCTTACTATTCATTCTCATTACATACTTATCGTTATTTAAAATTAATTAGAACAGCTATTATCTGTTGAAATAGAAAGTAAAACAGTTTTTATTGAAAATCTTGATTGGAATGGTAACCTTTTTTTGTAATTATTCAATTGAAATTTTAACATATTAATAACCAACGTTTTAAAAAGTTGTATTTTTTTCTGAATTACCTTTCCTCCTTAACTAGTTTCATTTATTATTCGTCACATCACACAGTCTTTATGCTTCCATTTTTATTACCTATTACAATTTCTATATATACCTACCTATTATGTAGTATTGACCGATGACAACCTATACACGTACATACATAAAATTAGAGAAAACTGATTTTCTTACTAAAAATTACTGTAGGTGATGGAACACCACGATAACATGGGATCTCGCCAACCCTCTTGTGATAGTTTAGCGGACCAGCAACAACACCTTCATCCTCCTACATATAGCAATTCTCATCATAAATCTCCCAGTATCAGGTTTGCATATACTTCGTTAGTACTATAGGCAGATTTTTAGACTTTTCATTTTTTTTTTCGTAACCTCAGAAGGGGCAATTCCCCTTCGTTAGCCCGAAGTCCCTCGCCTGGTAAACGTTATCAACACCATCTTCATCACGACATCGGTTTTTCGGACACCGTTTCAAACGTAGTAGAAATCGTCAAGCACGAACATCATAGATCACACTCCAACAAAAGCAAATTTATTAGAGGTACTCATCCAACCTAACTCGTACTAAATGCTTAAGTGCTTAATATATTTTACTCAATTTCTCGTTAATACGATTTAATATTTTCGATAAAACGTTTTCCTTTTTTTTTTCGAACAGGATCGTGGTCAGCATCGACGAGTCCGGCTAGGTCTCCTTCGCCAATGAACGAACACTCTTCTCGGCGTTTATCTCGACATGAGATCGTTCGCAATTCAAGTCGAAGGGCATACGGTACCACTAGCTTGTGTCAGAGGTCACGATCTCCTAGTCCGGGACATCATCCCCACGCAACTTCTCCAAATGACATGTGTTCCTCACACAATAGTCAGTATATTTATTATACCTACTAGTTCTTCCCCCCTATCAGTCATTGTGAGCTCGAAACTGTTAGCAACATTGCTTCGAGCGGTCGAAATTCACTTTTCTGAACAATTTGTTTAATCATTTTCTTTGTGTTAAAAATTGTTTGAAAAATTAAATTTAAAGAAATTGTAAATAGGTATGCAACACATCGTACACTTCAGCATAAGAAATTGCAGCACTCATAATTTATTTTATATTATATAATATTAAGTAACGTATAGTTACGGTAACATCTTACTCTCTTTTAACTATAAATGCGTGATTATGTGAATGTGATAATGAATAAGTATATATAATCAAAATATAATACTTAAACAGAGTTGTCTACAAAGTGTCCTCCTGCTCCTGTATTTGGTCTGCCAATGCAGCAATCAGCAGCTCATCAGGGGAGCATGCAACATAGCCATCCTGTATTAGGTGGACGAAGAGGCCAAGGTAGAAGACTACCACCGACTCCTTGTAAACCTTCTACACTTCAATTACGACCAGGTCCCATCAACTTTCCCAAGTTGAACGCGTCACCTACACACGTAAGTTTTGCGGCCGGTGTAGATGAGTTCTACTTCCTTTCAGGCTGTTCTGCTATTAAGTATCCATAAGATCTTGCTTCTCCAGGCATTTCGTCAATCATTACTGACATTTTCATAGAGGACTCAGGAAAGCCCCGCCAAGGAACGACGAAATGTCTGGAAACGCGAAATTCTATGGACCATAGCAGAACAATCGTATATACAATGTAAAATAAAGACCGTAACTTGTTGGTCTTTATACATTTTATTGATGAATAATTGTTGAATTTGAAAGGTGCAGTCTCATTCGGCCCATACGACTCCCCACAGCTATGTGAGAGAGCGCGAACCGCTTCGAGAAATCGTGCCAACGACGTATGACAGTTCGACACATGCACCAATGAGCTTCGAGCAAGCGGTGGCTCTAGGTAGGGGAGGACGAATGTTGCCAAGTCCAGTGCCGAATGGCTATAAGCCAAAGCCTTCTCGTTCGCGTAATTCCGATTCGGACGAAGACGATTGGTGCTAACGAAAGTGTTCCGTTACCACAGACTTAAAAAAATAAACCGCATTTAATATAAATAAAAGAAGAAGAAATGGACAGTGGATGAAATTCGCGAGACATACATATAACAACTTCCGGATTATTGATTATGGAATTGAAGGATTGATGTGCTCGTAAGTAGTCAAATTATTGGGGGAGGTATTATTATGGGCATACACTATACACGCAGACAAAGGTACAAAAGAACAGCAAGACTGCTACAAAACAGTGACGCGACTAATAGTATTACTCTCGAATTCAAAAACAAAAAAACTTTTTTTTAAATACTGCCAGTAATTTTCTGCTCCTCAATTTTCTGTATTTAAAAGTGTATTAAGTCGTAATACGTATAAAAATTGCATTCAGAACGACATTAATATTGATAATACAAATATAATATAATAGTATTTACGCGTCCCGAAGTAATCGAAAACGGTTCATTCTAATTACATTAATGAAATATATTAATTAGTTAGTAATTCTTCCCTAAAGTGCTTTAACATTAAAACTAACGACGAGAAATCAACCGTTTCGTATGTAAATATATAATATATCTATTTATATATTTACGTACAGAAACGTTCCCTTATACAAACTTGCATATATATACATATGTATACATACATACACACATACATACATACATAAATACATACCTTACTGTACCTATAATAATTATTACGTACCATATATTTAAAATGCTTTTCCCCGAGTTTATACAAAAACGTATGTATAAAAACATTTTTTCTGTGATACTCGACGCTTTATTATTGTTATTATTCGGTTAAACACCCGTACCCTTTATTTCATGAATCCAGTCCAAGAATAAGAAAGTGAACGACTTCCATTCTACTGTATTTTTTGATTTTATTATTGCTTTTTTACAAAAGATGCCTTATTAAAATCGAAATTAATTACTATCATATAAAACCTCTTTAAAAAACTTGAGCAAACAGTTTAAATAAAATGGTGTAGTCATTGGGTATTTCTTTTGCTTACTTGTTATTGTATGTACACTATTGGACAAAACAAAAGTAACTCTTAAAAGAAACAGAATCCTATACGTAGCCTGTTCGTTCATTTAAATATTTAGCCAGACGTATATATTTTCTCTTAGTTTGATACCGTACGTAACATATAATAAAAAAAACTTTTTCAAAATAATTTTTTATTTGATTTAACAACAGAAAAAAACAAACGTGGTTCCAGGGGTTTCGTTTGAAAATCTTATATTTAATACCCGACGTTCAACCTCTTGCCATAAGTGCTCGATAGGGGTCAAATGCAGCGTGCCTGTTCAAGTCTCTTTCAGAAACTAACGGATTCTCGTTGAACAGTCGTAAGCCTAATTTTTTGGTTCAGGAATTTCAGAAACTATTCTTTGGTAATTTTTAAGAATAGCTTTACCGTTGTCCCATAGTGTATAGTGTAAAATTCTAATAATAATGACTATATGTTATTATAATAATTGTTGCTAAATCTCTTTCTCTTTTCCTCTCATTATAAACTTCAGTTTCAATTCTAAATATCATAAAAGTCATTTTTAAATACGTAATCAACTAGAAAGTTAGTTACAAATTTAAATTTATTTCTCGAGACACAAGAACAAACAAACGTTGTTAAAGAATTATTGATAGTAAAAACTGTTATTTGCTGAAAGTTATTCATAATGTAGCGAAGTTTGTTAAAGAGGTCATAAAGAATACTTGTTATCATAAAAATTTTAACGAGTTTGTTAATATTAACTATGTCTTCAAAGAGAAAAGACCGCGTCTAACTAATAATGCAAAACAAAATACTTCTGCCAATTGCGTAATTATTATAATTATTAATTCATGTATGAAGATGCCGGTCTGATTCTTCAAACACCTTCTTCTAGACTATTAATTGTAAAAATTTTAACGACTAAAATATATTTAAGAAAAAAATATTGCTTGGTGTGAAGAAATGTATGGTCGTATCGCTAGATGGGTGTAGCTCACACTTTGCTCGTTGTTACCTGTTAATTAACTGATTTATTTATTACCTCTGATATACAAGACGTGATTAACAAAAAAAAAATAGTACAGACTTGTAGATAAACAATTAATCGTTTCAGTGGTTCATTTTGTTGTTGTTTGGGCATGAAGAGCCGATTTTATCATTAATATTTTTTGTTTTTTATTTTGAAAATTTCATTGCTATTTCCAAATGCTTTGCTCTATAAAAATACAAATCCGCTACCAAATTTTTAATTATAAGTACAATATCTTGGTTTATTATTTTACTAAATTACTTTTAGGTGGGTAGGTACACAGTAATCATTTCTAATGACAGAGGAGTTTTAAAATTTCTAGAAATACGTTCAACAAGAATATTTACGAAAGATTTTTCTCTATTAATAAAACAAAAAAAATATTATCAATAAGTAATAATTGCAGATATTTTTGGCTTCTTTCCGCCAAAAAAAAAATTGATTGTAACAACTACCGGTTCCATAATTTGGTATGTAAGCAGCATGTTGTCTTGTGCAGAACGAATACGATTGTTAAAATTTTTGTAAAAGAAATCGAAAATGATACCGAGAACCCTTTATTTTTCATTGAAAGCAAAAAGTTGATGCTAAACGTTGAATAAAGATTTTCCGCAGGTCTACGGTGCCATTTTCGCAATTGCGAGAAAAATATACAATAAGCCATAAAAAGGTTTCTTTAAAATTGTTACTTTCTAGGAGTTTATGTAATTAATTAATATTTTACCTTTGTCCAATAGAAATTAAATTAGTGTTAAACCATTATCGTCGCTTTAAGCAACTTTTTTAAATAAAAATGGTTACATCTAATTGATTCTAACCGCATTATCTTTTTTGTTATTTTCAATTAAATGAAATTTCAACAAGATGTGTTTATTTGTAAAAAATATACACACTTTATTAAAGAAGCACTAATTTGATTTTAAAAAATAATGTCGAATTTATTGTTGAGATTTTGTATACCGTTTTAGCGGTACATGACGGTATGACGGGTTGCCTGCTACTCTTTACAAAATGTGATACAAAAAATATGAATCACTCTATTGGTTATATATCTACAAAGGGTATTCAAATAGTTGTGGAACAAATTTATTCGTAAAATTGCTGACATAAAAATTTTGACATTACTTTATCGCATGGTTTGCTATCGTACCTTTTTAACTATTATAGTTATACTATCTTCTTTTTACATCAAAATGAATTTTTCCAAGAAAAAAGAAACAATCAGTTATTTAATGAGGTTAGTAAATTTCTTAACTAGCCAAATTTGGATTGTTAAATTTACGATTTACTTTTTATATGTAATTAGTACTCATTTTTGGGGACCTCTCCTTAACTGGACTATTCCTTTAACTACTANCAATTTCAACGGTACAATCTCAGTCTGTCAGTATGTACTTAATTTTCAGTATCTCGTTAATTAAAATAAATCGTATTATTTTTTGTATAATATATATCTGTGTGTGTGTGTTTTAACCCCTTTTTTTGTATTAATTTGCTAGTAATAACGCTTTCTTTTTGTTTAAAAATAATATTCTAAACCATGTATATAAATAATCATCTCCAACGTTAGACAAATCAAAACAAAATTGTAAGTGTATCTAAATTTAATATATGGTAAATTTAAAGAGATATCAATTTGAGAATCATTTTTATATTTTAAAAAATTCTAGCATTAATCCTGTACTCTGGAATGTTTATGAGATTCGCTTTAAAAGTACATCCACGTAATCTGCTTCTTTTTGCTTGTCATCTTACGAATGAAGTAGCACAATTGATACAGTTAATGAGGTTTTTCAATTATCACTACATTAATAACATCTAATACTGTACTGGTAATTTAATAATAATCGAGGAAAAAACCAAAAAGGTGTAGATAAATTAATTCTTTTCTTCTTAAAGATAAAGAAGAACTAATAAAGACGTAACTTATATACCCAAACATATATGCGTAATCGTATGTATTTGTTTTTGAAGTAGCACTAAAATTAATATATTTAATTCTACTTCTGAAGGTTAATGAGCCACTATTTTATTAGTAGCTGAATCATGACATTTTTCAGAGACCAAGAAAATGACTTCAACAACCTTAAAAATAAAATCTGAATGTTCTCTATGGTTCGAATTGTCAAATTTGAAAAGTGAATAGTGGTAATATAACGTTAAAATCTTAAAATATTTAAAAATGTTTTTGTTAATTAATTACAAAATATAGTTATGGACTTTTAATCAACTAATGACAAGCATTGTGTTACAAGTGGTAGGGTGATCCAGTTATTTCCGGATTCGATAAATTACCTAACCTACATTGCAAACTGATGTCATCGTTATTTTAAATAAAGTGTTGTAATTCTTTTAAAACATTTTTTCAGTGCTTAATAATTGGAAAAAATGGTGTTCGAGTCTGTAGTAACCGATATTTTGAATCGAATCTTGGGAGACTTTATTGAAAATTTGGATAGTAAACAATTAAATCTTGGCATTTGGGGAGGTAATGGTAACAGTACTTTATAGCAAATAACAGTGATACTAATTAGATTGTTTTTATGTAGGGGATGTAGAATTGAAAGATTTAATTTTAAAACAAAGTGCTGTTGATGAATTGGATCTTCCATTACAAATTGCCTACGGCAGGCTAGGTAAGTTGAGGATTATGATGGTACAATTATCTATTTATATATTCTTATATGTATTACAGGTAATTTGACATTGAAAATTCCATGGAAAAATTTATATAGCTCAGCAACAGAAGCAAGTATTGATGGACTATATTTGATACTTGTGCCAAACAGAGAGATCAAGTATGACCCAATAAAAGATGAAAAGAAGTTAAGAGACACTAAATATTCAGCATTGGCTCAAATTGAGGAAAGGAAAAAAAGAGAAGCAGAAATGGGTATGTTTTAGAACTATTGATTTATACTTTATTTTTCTGGTCTTAGGTTCTAAGAAATATTTGTAAATATTAAATCAGAGCTGCATGTATAACCTTTGACTAATAGTATCATATACAGTTTAAAAGCCTTTTTATCTTGCAAATAGTAATATTATTTTTAATATGTTATTTATTTTTTTAGAGAAAACTGATGATACTTTTTTGGAAAAACTTATTGTTCAGATCATTAAAAACCTGCAGGTAAAAATAACCAATATTCACATTCGCTATGAAGATAAAATAACAAATCCAGGACATCCCTTTGCCATGGGAATAACTTTAAACAATTTAGCAATAGACACCACAGATGAAAATTGGAAACCCACAGTTGTGGAAGAAATTGTAACAAAAATTTATAAGGTATTCCAAAATAAATGTTCAATGAAATAGTTAGGTATTATTAAAATTTTTTAACTTTAGGCTGTACAGTTGGATGCTTTAGCAGTTTATTGGAACTGCGATAGTGTTACTTATTCTCATTTATCACCTGAAGAAGTTGTTCAAAATCTGATTAGGGAAACTGCCACAAACAGGTTTCAACCAGAAAATTATAAATACAGTATGAGAGAGACCTAATTAAAGCAACAATTTTGTTTTGACATTTCATATTTTACAGTACTTCAACCTATAATGTCCTCAGTACAATTAAAACTTAATCCCAAACCTNCACTCAGGTGCCTCTTGAGCTGAAGTCGTTCATGCAAGAGGTGTCAAAAATTCAGTATCAGCTCTCCTTGGACAGCCAAAAATCACCAGAAAACTTCCTCTTCGTCAAGGTATGATGCCGTGGTCTAAATTGTTTATTTCATTCTTTCTCTATAAATTCTATTTATGCGGAATTAATTAAAAATTGGAAATTTCAAATGTAAATTTTGTTCATATCTTTCATAATTGCTACACATACAGACAGTATAATTTCATTTTTTATTTGCTTTCAATTGTACACTTTTAGTACGTAGATTGGTATTTATATATTCTCTTTTTTGTATATCAATTTGATTTAATACCCTTTCAAACATTGTTATTAAATGTTAATATGGTCATTTATCATTTGTATATAGGTTGAAACTTTTGAAAAGGAACTAAAATTACCTTTTGAAAGAGCCGACAAAAGATACTTCCCACTCGATCCAAAAACGAACAAAGGCCTAATTTCGGAAGTTTCCATGGAACACGGGGTCCTTTCCTTAACATTAAGAAGCATACTAAAGGTCTGTATATATTATAAGTGGATTAATACATATACGTATTATACATATATATAAAGTAACATATAACATATTTTTATAATTTCTAAGTGGTAATTTTGTTTTTGTAGATTTTCAATCATTTCACTATTCCAGTAGATATCTATTATATGACAGAAAAAAGTAATAATTTGGCTTTCATTTTCAACATACAACCAGGACAGTCCCGAAATTTGCCATACAAGGCAGTGTATACTACTACGGGTCAGCTGTTTTTTTCGGTTAAAAGCTACTCTGTGACCTCGGTACCTTTTGTCTGGCGCGACTTGAATTCGAACGTGACTATCTCAAAGACATTAATGTGTCGACCTAAGGATCACCTGAACCACACCGAGCCATTTCTATTAAATGTAAGTAACTTAAGAAAGAAAGCATTTTCATTCTATTATTAATTATAATATTTTACTGATTTTAGGTAAGCGGGAAAATGAAACAAGTGTATAGCGAAACGTCGACGCGTTATACGATGGCGAGTGTTTTGAAACAGTTCCAATCCGCACTGACTCCCGAAGAAAAGCAACGCCTATTTGAAGCTATCGATTACCAGGAAAACCTCGCACCTACTGAATATCCCGAATCTTACGTCGACATGTCTGGTGTGTTCATTTTGAAAACTCTTGTAACAGAAATTTATGATACACCCAAAAAGATTATTTCTTCACAATTGACTGGAGTCAAGTGTCGTTTGGAAACACGGGCCGGAGGACACGCAATTAAGTAATATTTATTTTAATAATTACTAGTTCTTCCCTCCTATCAGTCCCTGTGAGCTCGAAACTGTTAGCACTATTGCTTCGAGTGGTCGAAATTCACTTTTGTGAACAATTTGTGTAATTACTGTTTTTGTGTTAAAAATTGTTTGAAAAAGTAAATTTAAAGAAATTGTTTGGAAATAAGTATGCAACACATCGTACACTTCAGCATAAGAAATTGTTGATACTAACTACGTAATACTACTTTGCCCTGTGCTGACA